TCATTTGATGCTGATTGTCCACATCACTTGAGATGCAAGACTGATAAAGTTGTGATCGACGGGTTATCTAAAGCAGTGATCAACCCTAGAGTTGTCTCGTCGCACACAAGATCATTTAATGCTCTGCACACCGCTCACATTCCGTTCACCATCTAGCATTTTGGCCCTCTTCCATCTCCATCCAAGTTTCTTTCCTGCTCTTTTACCGGAAAACTTTCCACATTGTCGGCTCAATCCAACGCTCAGCTCACCTCTTCTTCCGTTACCAGGCTTTAGTCCAGCATATGTTCTCCTTGATCTCTCCGTGTTTGAGCTCATTTACTGCCATTTGAAAGGTCACAAGATCTATGGAACAGCACAGGCGATATACAAACATAAGTTAGGGCATTGGCAGTAGAACCACCAAGATGAGTAGTTAAAAAAAAACAGAACCTTGTGAGTCTTGATTTGAATCTGGACGTTTGAAGGAATGAGAATAATTTAAAGGAGAGAGTGAAGGAAAAAGGTTGAGATGCAATATGCAGTAAGGGGGATCAAAAAGGGGAGGACAAAAGGGCGCACACACCATGAGAGCGGGGAAAAGGGAAGGAGGGATGGAAAGGAAGGACAAGAAACGAATTGAAGGAGGGATCGAGAAAATGAGAGGAAAGAGAAAAAAAAAGTTGAAAAGAGAGGGAACCAAAACAGTGTGACATTGTCGACATCGGCAGCAAGGGCCTTGAACTTTAACAAGAAAAATAAAGGCAGTATTAGAAAACCGGGTGTGATTCTATCCTTGTGTTGTATTGTCTGTGAGGTCGTTGATCTTTAAGCCATATGAATGCTGGGCCAAAGACAGACTACAATACAGCCACGCACACCAGTCTATCGTTTTACTATTACAGGCATCCGTAAGTTCAAAAACACCTATCAATTAACGCGCTCTTTCTGCTATTGCCAGTCCGCAAACAACAACAAAGGAGGTAGAACAAAGAGGTCAAAGGGTTTAGATGAGCATGGACGGGAGGATAGAAAGGGAGGGAATAAAACGCCGATAGATGGGATTAGAGAGGGAGGAACGCTGAAAGTTATGCATGGAATGCTTGATCGCTATTTATTCTTTTGCTTTCCTCCGACCGTGCATAAAAGAAAAAAACAACCCTTTCGTCTCCATTGATGTGATCATAGTTGGGCTTCTGCTTATGCCAACAATGTGATACGCTCTCCAAAGGCTCGATGGACACAGACCATTGCTGGCTCATTTCATCCTTGAACCCCATTGTTGTCCCCATGACCCCCTTTCCCGTCATTTTCCATCTCCTTGTTCTCTCTTCCTTCTCACACACTCTTTCCCATTTTTTCAATTAGAGAATGATTGTGACATGCTCAACTCATCTTCCGCTCTCTCTCCTCATTTTTTTTCTTTTTTTGCTCAACCCCCCGGTCTTTCACACGCGTTCATTTGATCTGTTTCGTACACTTTGTGGTCGCGTTCTTGATATGTAGATCCGGGAGAACACACCCAAAAAAAAATCAAGGGCACACAATTCTCCCCTCAATCGTCTTACTGTTTGAACACTCACTGGCTGGGTGGTGTACGGCATTTCGATATGGGTTAGACTGACATATGAAAAGGAAGAACAAGAAATGACGAAGATCAAGAGGCACAGGAAGATACACAACAGATCGTGTCCTAGCCACATTGTTTGTTTCTTCATTCCTTTCCTTACCAGTTTCTTGTCCCTTTGCTTTACTTATGTTCTTCGATGATAATTGAATTGGCGATCCAACTCTAAAAAATATTCATCGTAAATTGAGCTCTCTTTATTTTCCGTCTGTGGGCCTCTTTTAGAGATGGCCGATAGGATCGAAAGGGAGGATAAAATTCCGAGCGGATTACACGTAAGAGTGACAGCAGAAGAATTAGGAGAAAAAAAAAGTGCGGGATAGGGCGAGGAAAGAGAGTTTGGGCATTACACTTGGCGCTAAAGGCGTAAAAAATAAGATGAGGAAGAAGGTTGAACGAGTGAGAGACGGATGGTGGGAGTGACAGTGTGGGAGCAACGTCTTGTCATTCATTAAAATAAGAAAACAAACAGAATTGATCGATCCATGGGAGTGAGAAAGAATTGGGCTACAGTGCTACAGTCTTTGGGCGAGGGCGAATGACGAAGACCAATGGTGAACCGTGAACGATAAGAATGGAGGAGGATTGTGCATGGAAGGTCGACAAGGGTTTCTATGGTCAATTGATCTCACATGTCCTTCTCGTTTTTCCTTTTCGTCTTTCCTGCGTTCTGTCGTTTCGATAGTATATTTCAGGAAAAGCACCTGAAGTATGCAAAGTCTGTGAAAGAGTGTGTGCTCATGCAATCAACATTGTAAGTATGTGCGCCAAGACCCTTGAAAAAGAAGAAGAAAAAGAAAAAGAAAAAGAAAGAAAAAAGGGGAAGGGAGAGGGAGAGAGAGAAGAAAGAAAGAAAAAAAAAGGCCAATGTAAGGCAGAGCGACAGGGTCGTAAGGCGAAAGAGTCGGTTGTTGCTTAGTTGGTTTGGATCAAATTGAATTCAGCGCTACACAAACGAGTAGAGGCCAGACCCTCGCACTGAAACGGAGTGTATGCCGAGAACACATACAAATGTGGACACAAGAGGAACATCAGAAACAAGCAACCAACGAATCAACGGACCCGAAATCTCCAAGGGAAGGGCGGGATCTCTGTTTTCTTTCTTCCTCTTCTTCCTTATGTTTGCGCCTGTGCTTTTTTATTTTTCATCTCTCCACCCCATCTCATTTTTTCGTTCCTTATTATCTGCCATGTTTTTCATAACTTATGTTTGTTTGCGTACGAGTGTGCGTGCGCTTGTTGTTACTGTTGCTGTTGTTGTTGGGGCAAAGTCTTGTGCCTTTTTTGTTTACAGGTAGAGGTTATGAATGGGGGTGTTACTGTTTATGATGGCTGTTGTTATTGTGTCTTGGGAGAAGAAAACGTAGTAGAGAAGAAGAGAGAGGGAATGGTAGATAGGCGATGCAGAACAGAGAAGGATGGTTGATGTCAAGAAGTAAAGATATGAACGTAAGACTGTTGATTGAAGAGGAAAGGTTCGGACAATGTAGTCTGGCGATACTTGATTTGTTGCGTGCGAACAGCAGCTACAGTCAACCCATGACAACTTGCAACTTGTTATCGAATGGGTCATTCATTTTTAGTGTGGACGCCTAGCCCTTTTATTGTTTACTTTATTTTAATTGAGTGTTTGAGTTTTCGAATATGTAGAGTGTATCCTGTGGAAGGTATCGTATCGTTTTTTTTTTTTTTTTTTTTTTGCTTCTTCCTTTGTCATTGTTCCTGTTCGTGCTCTCTTTTCCTTTCATACCCTTGCTTCTGCAGCCACCCTTGTTTCCGGGTTGTGGTGGTTGGTGGCTGGGTCGATTGGGTGGTCATCATCGTTTGTCCGTGATCGTTCGATTGAGCAGCAGGACAATTGAATTGGATTGAATATGGTATCCCCCTTTTTTTATTTCAATTGAATGATGAATACCATGGTCCATGGTGTGAACAACATACAGCACGATAATCTCCCATTTCCATTTTGCACACACTTTCTCATACATCCTTTTTTTTTGTCCTTATCGATTCGACTCTTCTCTTTCTTTTCTCCTCTCCTCTTTCTTCAACCTCCAACCTCCAACCTGATTCACTCGTTCTCATTCCTCTTTCTTTTTCTCCGTCGTACTTCTGTGGTTACTGTTGCTCATTTCAAGTAACCTGATTCTTCATTCACCCCCACCCACCTTCTCATTCATTCTCCTTGTCCTTCCCTCCTCTTTATCGCGAAGACTATAAAGCCTTCTTTCTTGTTCCTGAATAGGATCAATCACCCTCCTTTTAATAATTCTCTTCTCGTTTTTCTTCCCCACTTTCTCTTTCTCTTTTTCTCCACTTCCTCTTTTTCCCCTCTTCTTTTCTCTCCTCTTCTCTTCTCTCCTCTTCTCTTTCCCTTCAGCCTTCACCCACACCTTCTTCCCTCACCTTCTGACAGCAAACAATGATGAACAACCCGACAATGTCCTTTACTCGCAGCACACCCCCTGCACCGGGACAACACCTCTCTTTCTACCACACCCCTTCCTCCTCCTCCTCCTCTTCTTCTTCTGCTGCAGCTACCTTCTCCAACACTCACCGCTCCTACTCTACCTCTGCTCAGCATCAACAGCAACAACAAAATCATCATCACTCACGGTCCCAACAAGCCGGTTCCCCTCCAAGACATCCTCACCCACAACAACATCCATCTCACACACACTCCCACTCTCACCCTCACTCTCCACACAACAACCAAGAAAGATACCCTTTTGCACCAGCTCACAATAACAACAACAACCATCCCCATCCTCACTCCGTCCCTGACTCTCAACATCAGCAACCACCACAGCCACACCATATGCAGCCACACCATATGCAGCAACACCATCATCACCAACAACGGAGCTCGCAGTACCATTATACCGGTCGCAGTCATGATAACAGCAGCAACAACGCATTCCCTTACCCAAGGCCCATCCACACTTCTCCCTCTCAACAACACCAACAGGAACAACAACGATACGAGTATGAGCAGCAAGCAAGGCACCAAGAAGCATATCGTCAGCATCAGCACCAGCACCAGCAGCAACAAAAACGACATCACTCTGCTTCAACACCAACACCACAGCAACCCCCTCGCCCTTTCGAAGAGTTCAGTCATCGTGGATCAAGCCGCCCTCAGTCCTTTGGTACCTCTTCCCTCTCTCCCTCATCCTCTTCTCCGGTACCATCCTTTCCTTCCTCTCCAATCTCCTCTGTTTCCCACTACTCTTCGCCCTCGCCAAAGTCACAGACCCTCTCAGCCTCTACTTTTGATCGGACCATTCAACGACCCGCCCCCTCCTTTTCAATGCCTTCGTCCATCACCATCAAACCCGACCCAGGTGCACCCACAACAACGATGTCAAAGGCGACAATGTCAAACAAAAACAAGATGAACTCGATAGCAACACTTCCTACTCCCACGACCACCTCCCGAAAGCAACTTCCCTCAATCGCCGATCTGCACAACGTCAACAATGAAGCTGAGGATGAGGATATGGTCCTCGTGAAACCGCCTCCTTCTCCTTCGCCCTCTCCAATGGACCTCTCCCATTCCCGCTCTCGAACTCCCTTCGAGGACTTGCCGGACGAGGATAATTATGGCCGGTCCATGTCGGTCTCGACCTCAATTTCGGCGACTTCTACCTCAGCCTCGGCTTCCTCCTCCATCAAGCCTACCTCCTCATCTGCCTCGACAGCCCCACCATGGGCACCATTTGTTCCAAAGGTCGTGTCGATGTCCCACCCTCTCCTCGTGGTCGATCCAGCGACGCTCCCCTTTGTCTGTGCGATCGGTGAGTGCCGCAGAGCTTACTCGACCCACCAGGGTCTCCGACGACACATCCGCGACCACCGAGAGGCCGATCAAGGCGAACGGTTCTTGTGCACGATCGACGGATGTAACGTCAGTCTTCGGACTAAGCAAAGCCAGGCCGCCCATGTACGCCTCTGCCGTCAAAAGAAAGCCGGGCTGACCCACCACTGTACCGAGCCCGGATGTGACGCCGCGTATGGGTCGACCGAGAACCTGTCGCGCCATCGGTTGAAACACCAGCGGGGTTTGGTCGGGATCAAGTATCCGTGCACGTGGCCAGACTGTGACAAGACACTCGCGACGCCCAAGAGTCTGAAGGACCACCTCCAGATCCATGCCGAGCGCGAGGCCGGCATCCGTCTCTTCTGCCCAGTCGAGGGTTGCGACAAGGTCTTTGGAACCAATCGGTGTCTGCGAGCGCACGAGTTGCGATGCAAGCAGGTCAAGTCTGGCGAGCGGTTGCCCTGTCCGATCGAGGGTTGTACAGCGACGTTTGGGAGTACGGATTACGTGCGGCGCCATGTTCTCGACCACGAGAAGGGGCTCATTGGCCAGGCCTTCAAGTGCGATTACGGCGACTGCAAGGCGGTGTTGGCCAATCCCCTGACGCTGCAGCGGCACAAACAGTTGCATGAGGAGCAGTCGCTTGGATTCGAGTGGATGTGTCTGGTTGGAGACTGTGGCAAGGTTTATTCGGGCAGCAAACAGCTCTCGGATCACCAGACCAGGATCCATCGGGACCTAGGTCCTGACTATCGATTCGCTTGTCCCTACAAGCAGTGCGATCAAGAGTTTGACTGCCAGCGCATCGCCTACAAGCACAAGTGTCTCTTCCAAAAGGTAATTCGTCGCTTTTATTTTCCTTCAATGTCAATTCTTTTTTTTCTTTGGCAATTATCATGCGTTTCCCGCCTGGCTCTGCCATATGCTCAGAGTAAAATGCGAGGATGGTTGTGTTTTAGAAAAAATGCCTGTGATCCTTGCAAGGATGATGTGATTGCAAGCCGTGGTTTTCATTGCTGCTTTGTTGTTTTGTTGTTTGTGTATACACTATAAGAGATTCGATTGAATTGTGTTTTATTCAGTATGCGGGTTTGTTTACACTCCTCCCTCTTTTTTTTGGGCTGGCCTCTCTTTACTTACTCTTTTTGGCTTGTTTACTTTCTTTCCTGCAGGTGCATGTTATTTTATTTATTGTTGTGTTGTGTGTTGTTGTGTTGTTGTGTTGTTGATGGTGGTACTAAAACGTGTTTAAATGTTCCTTTGGGTCTGTCAAAGAAAGGGGAGAGTAACAGAAAACGAGAACGAAGTACCAAGAGTCTGAAAATACTAACACAACTACATTATTATATTATTTTGTGATACCTTCGACCTTTAACAGAAACAATGCCCCATGGAAGGCTGCCCGTGTCTGTTGCCAAATGCAGAGGCGCTGGAAGCACATGTGTGGATGCACAACACCCTCAAGACCAAACCTCCTTACCCATGCTTTGAGGAAGGCTGCTCTCAGGTCTATGATACCAAACATGGTATCTTAGCCCACTCCTTGACCCATCTTACCATCACCACCACCCCTGCAAATTCTTCTACTTCGGCCGCTGCTGAATCTTAATGAGGAGCTGTTTGTTGGGTAGCTGGAGGAAGAGGGATGGACAACAAGAAAAAAAGGAGAATAATAAATCCCCTACATATGGATGATGCCTTCCTCCAAAGCATCATTGTGCATGACAACTTGGTTCGATTTGTTTACCTGTTTGCTGTTACAATTGTTGTTTTTGTGTTGTTTATCTGTTAAGAAAAACAAAAAGGTGAGCAATCGAGACGCACATGGCGTTTTGAGGCAAACAAGTGGGAGTGATTTACCGATTGACAGAAACAGGATGTGGCGTGGGCATGAGGCAAGAAGGAAAGGAGGGACAGGCGTCACCCCAAAAAAAGAGCAGAAACTGTCTTCTCTCTCTCTCTCTCTCTCTTCTTTTTAGTTCTTTTACTTCCGGTGCGGGGGTGGCATAGTATACATACGATCATTGGCGCAAACTAACGAAACAGGCGTGTTTTTTTTTATGCCTCTGCTCTACAAACGTGGCGCTGTTTTATTTTCCTTTGAGCTTTTATTGATCGGAGTAGAGATGTTACGGAGGAGTGGAGGGGAATGGAAGGAAGGTTGGGGGAGGAGGGGCGCATAAGTTCTTGATGTGTGTTTGCGATAATGTCGTAAGCGAGTTGTAAGAAAAAAAGGAACGGTTGGAAGGGGATGAGCTGTTGGAGGAGGACGAGACAACGGTCGGTGAAGAAGGGGTGGGTAATGAGATTGATCGGATTTATGCGCAGTCTGGGTCAGCAGGGGATTGCAGGAGGACCATGCTTACCTTTAACCAATTTTTTTTGTCTTGCTTTTTGTAGCGAGGCTATTTCGCCATACACATGTATGATGATGGCACATATACATACAACACACACTTGCGCTCACGCTCAAGTGTGGAAATTTACAAGGCTAGGCTCAACCCTTTCCCTTCCTCTCTATCATTTGGCAGTCGTTTGCTCGTTCGTTTTTTTTTGTTTACTCTCCATCGATTATGTTTTCTCTTACTTGGTTGTGTACAAATGAAAACACAGCAACTTTTTTTTCTCTTGTGCAAGTTGAACAGAGGGATCGTAGTGGTAGTAATGGAAGGTGCTTGTGTATGGATGTGTATATATGGGTGTGTGTAGCTGATATTATTCTCCTTGTCCTTCTGATCAGGAGATGAGACGAACTAGGCCAAACCGTTACTCTGTCTGTTGTGATTCCTGACTGATCTTCGATCTGTTCGTTGTCAATCATTTGTTTCTGTTTGTCGTCTATCATTTGTTTCTGTTTCTGATTTTTATTTCGTTTTTGTTCTCGGCCGCATTCGCCCCTGAGTAGCGACAGGTACCTTTATTTTATTTATTTTTCTTTTCTCCTTCCCACCGGAAGATTATTTGCTAGAGTGGAGAAAAAAAATAAGGTCTTCACTCCTCAATCAATTGCTACTCACTCCCTTTCCATCCATTCTCTCTCCTCCACCTCTTCTCCACTCCCCTCTCCACTTCATTCTGGCCACTGACCTGACCTGGCCCTTCCTTTTACTTATCTTACTTCCAACTTCTCACTTTTCTATGTCCCCTCACCCCAATGTTTTTGTGGGAGAGGATAGAAGTTGAAAGCATGACCAAAACCAATTTATCATATTTGTTTTTATTATCCCAAAGCCAGTAGCCGCTGCTGTTCTTTTATGGAATTTTTTTTCGACCGTGTCACCCACCTATCCGCCTCCCTCTCCACTCAACACTCAAGGGCGAGACCGACCCGCAACACAAGAAATTAATTTTGGGTGAAAAAAAAGGGTCTAGCCCTTTGAGACTAACAAACCCACGCCACTTCGCACCCATCAAACTGGTCCTTTTTGTTTTGTTGTTTTTGTGTTTGTCGAATACATGTTCGCACAAAATAATACAAAGGCCCCTTTTTTTAAGATGCACGATATCCGGCTCCCATTATTACCCAGACCCTTCCTTTTCTCTCAGTAATTTCCAATGACAAAGACAAGTCAAAGAAAAGAAGGGAGGAAGGGAAAAAAAGGAGGTTTGGATGAATGATAGTCCACATGGCTGAACTCCTTGGAGAGGTCAGGTAGGAGTCGACGCGCATGATATAACATCATTTATAGTTCTACAGCCCAAACTCTCTTCATAAGTGGATAACTAGCCCTTTACTAATCTTGGTGTTTATCATCCATCCTTCTCTGTATCGGATGGCGTCTGGTGAAAGAAGAACAGTGATCAGGTTTTACAAAAGAACCTCTCTGCCCACGCGCGCCCCCCTCATGCCAAGTGCGATACCTTTCTCTCCTCAATTGTGGAGCGAGAGAGATGGAATGAGGATGTCCCTGAGTTAGTTCAGTTCTAGGGGTTTGCTCATTATATCATCGGTTCGTCAAGGCCAAAAAAATGTAGCCTAGACTTTGGGCTGCCTTTTTGTCCCTCGCGTATGCATGTCGCATGCATGCAGGGGCGGAGCAAAAGCTAATAAAAAAAGGGAGGAAAAGGGTCCTGAACTTTTTTTTAGTGGGTCAAGAGTAGGTCGGTTGAGTACGTCGTTTCAGTTCAGTAGTGTCAGTTTCGGTCTTGTTGGCTAGTCGTGCAGAGTATTGCAATTTTTTTTTTTTTTTTCAAAGCCCAATTTCCCACTCGCGATCTAGCCCAGGCCATCTTCAAAAAAAAACAAAAATGGTCTGGCCCCCACTTTATGATTTTGGATTTATGGTACTTTGCCCTGGAGTGAGGAAAAATGTAAAAAACAGATACGTGGTGATGGTCATTCACGTTCATCTCCTTGCCTTTTCTCCGACTCCTTGTCTATCAGGTCGTTCAAATAAAGATCTTATGAAAAACGGCTATGTTATGCAGCTTTTTTTGTTATTGTTGTTGGTCATGATGAGTGAGTAGACATGCACAAACAAAAACAAAAAAAATCACCAACCAACCGACAAACTGACCGACCACTGCGGCCAGACCTAACAAGTGGATGATGTTCTGGGTCTGTGTTTGCTGAATAACCAAAAAACAAGACCCCTCTCTTGCCCCTCATGCTGCCTGAGAGCATAATCAACTTTACTGGCTCCACACAACACCCTCCCTCTCCATCTCTATCTCTCTCGGCATCCACTCACCCTCTTTTTCTGCTCTGCTTTGTATGCTTTTGTGGCACATCTTTATTCAATCCTTTTAGACTGCAGTACAGACTCTGTCCACAGGTTTTGCCCCAGCTTTTTTTTTTACTTTTCTATTTTTGTTTGTTTTTTTGTATATTTGTATGAATGAATGAGTGGATGGATCAATGGATCAGACCATGGATCATGCTGCCGATTCGTTTTCTTTGTCTGCATGTTGCCTATTACCTTATTTTTAATTTGAGCACGATCCACCCACCATCCGCCACACACATATCCCCCTTCCATCCAACGCCGTTGTGCTGTGTTTTGTTTGTGTGTTTGTAGGGTTTACCTACTTTCCTCCGCGGATGCATCTTCCTGACTCAATTCTACGCCTTCCCTTCAAATTGCGCCAGTCCCACCCCCCCTATTGCCCTACACCCACCTCATACTCTCAGCTATCGTTTTCTATCAGTACTCACGTCCAAGTACTCATGGACGACCTCACAAAGAGACGGTACCTTACCCAGCGCCCAGAAAGAAAAAACGGAGGAGAAAAGCGACAGCGACCGATAGTGCAGAGCGAAGAGAAATGTAATTTAGGAGAAAAAAAAAATAACCTTCAAAAGTTGACAGAATCCCCAACAACTCCGACAAAGGTACCATCCAGATCGGTCGGTCGGTCGGTCGGTTGGTCGGTCTGTTGTTTTGGTGTTTGACTTTTTGTTTTTAATTGAAGAGTCGACCATATGTCTGGTTTTCTCCTTTTCTGAACTCTTTTTTTTTGCTAGTTCTCGGAACTACACCCAATTCAGAGGTTGTGAGTCTTTTTTTTTTTTTTTTTTTGTGGGTACATACACTTGGTGTAGTACGTATGTTCTAGTACTCACTTATTTTATTTTTTTTGTAGAAAACTGAGATGCTACTGGTGCGAGGAATAAAAAAAGAGATGGGCGCGGCATTGATTGTGATTGTATAAAAGACGAGATGAGAAAGAAAAAAAAAAGAGAAGAGAGGCGAAGAGAAATGGCCTAACTAATGGTACCATCGAGTCGACTACATACAAAAAGGAACCGAATCGCGTGCAATGGCACTGTCTCTCACTCACAATGCACTCGTACCCTGTCCATTGTAGGAATGTCATACTTTACGATAGCATGTGAGAAAAAAGGAGCGGCAAAAGAAAAGAAAAGAAAACAAGTTAACATGATTCATCCACCGAAAAGGGCGCCAATTGGATCACTTGTGTCGACATACAGTAGCGCCAGGGCTGTATTATTTTTGCGTGTCCTAGTCCTAGTAGTTCACTTACATTGCATCGCGCTTATTTAGACCCAATTTCCGCAACAACGAAAGAGGCAGAAACAGAGTTTAGAAGGGCAACCACTGAACGGGGTCTAGTCTTCGCCGTTGCCTGTCGCTTTTGTGTGCCAGACTAATCAAAGAAGGGCTGCTACTGCCATACTTCGCGAATACCATAATGATTGGGATGCCTCGAGTATTGAATATGAGTATTGGCAGATCATGCATGCACTAGCTTGGCTCTCTATCCCGACTTGAATTGAGGAAGTCAAAGAAGGGTACAGACATTAAATGGTCGAGCTTCTGAGGACATTGAATCGTAACCATCTCCATTGACCGAATGGGGAAATGATCAGACGGAGAACTATACGTTCTTCTTTTTCCTGTAAACTTTTCAGAAAGCCGCGCCTCTGTCAAAGAGAAAAAGAAAGCAAATACACACGATCGCACTCTACCAAAAAAAAAAAAAAAAAAAAAGGTGTACCAAGCTTGATCAAACGATGCATCCCTTGCACCAAAACTATAGGAGAATCTTTTCCATGCTGAGCAGCTTCGGCAGTGCATAGGTGGGATAAATAGAAAAAACAAGTGTCGCCTCGTCCTGAAAGCCCTAATTTTTTTGGACACAAATGTATTTCTCTGCAAACAACACAAATACGGCATTTGGAAGTAAAATGGCTACAGACCAAACCTCTTCAGTGCGACATTCACCAGTTGTAGCCCGGTTCGGAACCTGGCTCTGTACAACAGCTGTCGCCTCTCTTTACAGCTTAAACGGACGACAAAATAAAATTAGATGCGAATAAAAGGGATTCTCCCCATCCTCTCCATCATTGATAATTCCTCCTCCCCAACAACTCTCCAAGAACCGCTCATCAGCAGCGCGTGAATCCTTGGTCGCTCCAGTTCAGGTTTCATCCTCATGTGTGGCTATCGAAGTGCCACATGGGCAGAAACTATCGTGTGTGATGTAATCGTATCCTCGACTCCAGTCACCTCGGGGGCCTGTGTACTTGGATGCCTTGTCCTTGGCAGAGATACCCTGGGTCTGCTCCCACGCGATCGTCGCGGAGCACAACGCTCAGTCGCGCTTTTTTTTTTTTTTTTTTTTTTTTTTGGTTGACTTTGGTAGCACGTGACACGCCACCAATTTTGTGACTAATTTCCAAGAGAACAAGTATGTACTGAAAAAACGTACTTTTGTGGGGGCCTCGAGCAACGTCTGCAGGAGATACCACGCAGTCTCAACTAGACTGGCAAAGAAGTGGAGGAAGAGGAAGAGGAAGAGGAAGTGATCTCAACTAGATCACGCTCAGGGACGACAGGGGAATGAATGCGGATCTTCGGCGCAAAAAGGGGACAACGGGTTCGAGGTTCTCAACCTAGAATGGTATGATTAACAGTGGGGGGAAGATCTTTATTTAGTGGCTGTTCGGACAACGAGAACAGCCGTTGACAGGGGAGGGGGAGAGGAACTTACCTAGAATGGTATGATTAACAGTGGGGGGAAGATACTGTTCAATCATCCATTCCAGGTGTCCTTTTATACTATCTGACTAAGGTCGCTAAACTACTACTTGTGGGGTCACTGAATGAAAGAGAATAAGATGAAGACGTAAAAAAAGAGATGGCCCGGGGGAGCTACTACTAACTGGTGTAAGAGTTAACAACTTGATGAACAACGAAAGGAAGTAGGAAGGGGCCATCAACAACAAAGAAAGGGCCTTTGACAAAGAGGGTCTTTGTCAAAGGGATGAACAACATAAAAGACAAGAAGAGGAAATAATAAAAGTGACTCGGGGCGATGGCTCCTTGTGTCACTGGGTGTTGAGAGCGAGCGGGGCGACGATAGTTGTCATCAACAAAGGGGAAAGGTGTAAACGAAAGTGTAAAAGAGGTAGGAGTCGCGTTTGCGGGTTTTTTTTTTTTTTTTCGTACACAATTTTATTTCTCTAACAAACAGCATAGAGAAGTTATTTGGAAGTAAAAGGGAACTACAGACCAAACTCTTCAGTGCACCATCCACCAGTCGCAGTCCGGTCCAGAACCTGGCTCTGCGCAACAATTGTCGCTGCTCTTCACAGCTTAAACGGAAGAAAATAAAACTAGATACGAATGAAGGGGATTCTTCCCATCCTCTCCATCATTAATAACCTCCTCCTTCCTAACAAACTCTCCAACAAACGCTCGTCAGCAGCGCGTGGGTCCTTGGTCGCTCCAGGGCACCTTCCTTCACAATGTGTGGCTAGCGAAGCGCCACACGGACAGAAACCATCGTGCGTAATGTAACCGTATCCTTGACTCCAGTCACCTCGGGGGCCTGTGTACTTGGATGTCTTGTCCTTGGCAGAGATGCCCTGGCTTTGTTCCCACGCGATCGTCGCGGAGCACCGAGGTTTCCAGATCAGCTCCGAGGCCTGCGCCTCCAGGTAGCCAACAAACTTGTGAAGGACTGTCTTGGCGATGGACATTGGGGTCCGGAAGACCGCGGACCATTCAGTCAACATGCTCAAGGGGGTGATGCCGCGGAGGAGATCCGACACATTCCACATCGGTTTCTCGTCTCGATCGAGAGCTGGACTACCGCTGTGCACGGCTCGAGCTCCACCGATGGAGGAAAATCCTCGTACATGATCTGCATCCGAAGGGGGCCACCAGTGTATGGGTACTGGCCTCGGTACCTGACGACCTCTGTCCACCGCGCGTTTGTATTCCCGCTTCCTGGCTGCGTTGTAGCTGTTTGTCGCCTGCACACCCCACTCATTAATCTTGCCCATGGCCTCCTTCCAGATCTCAGTGGTGGTCTCAGCTGCCGAAGGGCATTTCCAGACGTGATGCGTTTGCGGGTAAAAGGGAAAACGCAAACAAAGAGAGCAAAAAAGAAGGGAAAGGAAGGAAAGTAGTGGGAAAGAAGAAAAAAGGGAAAGTGGTGAATATAGGGGTGGCAATTCACGACACTTTCATCTGGTAGGATGGCCGAGTTGGTCTAAGGCGCCGCACTCAAGTTGCGGTCTCGAGAGAGGCGTGGGTTCAAATCCCACTTCTACCATTATCTTTTGCGATTTTCATTACCACTCTTTTTGCTGTGCCTGGATCGAAAGTTCGCGCGTGGAAGCGTTCTTTTTCCCTTCGCAACCTTTAATCTAATTGGGACGTTCATGCAACTTATTTTTCATCGGGGAAATATGACCAAGTTCGTACAGAGCTGGTGGTTCAAAGATGATGGTGTAAAACTGAATTCGACGTAAGTGGATTCCGATTTGAGGAGAAAAGGTAGCTCATGATTTACATGATTTTGTTCAACAAATACAAAAAGATGCATTCACATCTCTTTTTCCTCTTCTCTTCTTTCTCCTCAGTGCACAACACTCAAGACTCAACACTCGTCTTCCCACCAATATTTCAAAAACCCTCCATCCATCGTCCTCTGCCTTTGAAACCATGGAGTGACCTAGAGCGAGAGCGAGGATCATCACCGTTCGTCTCAGCACACCAAAATCAATCCCTGCAACCTGTTGACGTTTTGCACCGACCTCCACTTTATTTTTTTTCTTCATTGTTATCCACGCTCTACCCATTTTTTTTTTTTTTTTTTCAACTCATCGCAGGGTTGAATTGCCTATTGTGATCCCTTCTCACCTTTTTTTCCAGCTTTATGCTTCTCACTACACACTACACATTACACATTACACATGATGTCATGTATGGTGGTGGCCATTACCAGCACTCATTTACCAGCCCTCCACCTCTCCACTTTTTTCACGTGAAGGAAACCTTTGGCTACACCAACTTCTATCGCCGACGTTCCTATATTTGCCCAGTCACCGCACAAGTTCACGCTCAACCAGACCCTCGAGACGATTCCCGAAAACCTACTGGTGGGCATCTATCGTCCCTCTTCAGATGGTTGCACATCGGACTCCATTTGCTCGAAGGATTGTTTAAGCCGTCCAGATGCCACGCTCGTTATAGAGATATGTCGTTCCCGTCAAGACTCCTGAAGGTCGCAGCTTTCAGTGCCTTAAACGCGCAGTGGTAGCACCAGAGAGGGAACAATATCGGCTTTTTCTGCCCATATATCGCAAACTCTAGTCTTAGGTGCTTAATTGGGGCGACGGTGTCGTTGGCTGGTTGGATGGTCTCCTCGCATTACTTTCTTTGATCACTGTTGTTGATGCAAATAAAAATGAGTCTAGAAATCAAAACGCATTACACCTTGCTTTTGGAGGATTTTTTGTGTGAAAAAGGAGACGAAGAGAGAAGACGAAGTAATATCAGGTACGGACGAGGGAACATTGAAGAGGGAAAAAATCATCCACAATATGCAACGGTCGATAACAGTCGGGCAACGAAATCGGTGGAGATGGAAGGAAAAAAAAATTACGTTTATGATGATACCCGCGCAGAATGTACTGAATTGTGAGCAATAGGGGACGGCTGAGTTTTTGATTGAACCTGTGCACCCATGCAAATCGACAGGCGACAGACATGCGTAGAAAAGATTGCTCTCCCCTTGCTTTCTATTTCTACCCTTCTATTATTTCTTCCCACACCCACCGCTGAAGGAGGCCATTTTGGTCATCCCTCGGTCCTCTCCGTCCCCACGGTTGGGGACGTTGGCCATGGCCCCCACTCTACTCTCTTTCCTCTATCTCTTCTCTTCTGTCACTCTCATTTATAAGACACACAATGTGCTCCTTTAACCTCTTATCACAAGAACCACACTAGCACATACACTCCTCTCATCCATTTTCTATTTTCAGCACCCAGCAATCATTTGCCATTCTCGACTTTCAATCGCAGCTCCAACCCTTCAGGAAAAGCAAGCCAGGATGGAGGCCAGGCACAGACGACAAATCAACAACTCCAGGGTATATTGCCAAAAGCCCTTGATAGACTCTCCGACAAGTCTCATTGCAATTCGAGCTGATACCTCGGAACGAATCTTCGACCGTCGATATAGCCACTTTGAGTACAAAGCGGCAGGTTCTTTACACCACCCCATGCGGGTAGCTGTCACCAGTTCAGTTCAGGAACAAACTCGTGCGCGCCCTCTACGAGAAAATATTTGTACATCCGCCTGGACTTCAACAAGGCACAGGGACAAATAAGCTTAGACGTCTGGTTGCAGTGTGAGGTATGCAAGTAAATTCCTTTTACAATTTCTTTTGTTTTGCAAATATGAACGGAACCATGACTCATGCACGTCGATTTTTTCTCTTTCATTCTTGGCTCGCGTAAAATTTCCTTTCTTTCTACTTACAGACCTGTCGAATATAAGAGCAATTTAAGCTCCTAGCCCATCTCTCAAGAAGTAATGCTCGGCACCAGAGTACCGCCGGTTCCCTCATTGCCTGTCACCTTGGAACTACTCTAGTACTGTTCTCGCTCCGCTCGCCCGTAAGATGCAGGATCATCTTCAAGGAGCATCATCACTATTACTTGGCCGGGAATCTTTCACTCCTGGTGTTGCATTCCGCTACCTGACTCACCTGACAACCTCCCTATGATGCCCCCACAGCCGGATTTGCCTGTCGACTTGCATGCTCCGCCGCCAGTGGTGCCTGACTTCTACTGTATGAGCCTGACGAAGAGGAGGTGCCTCCTCCTCGCCAGCCCACTCCAGAGACCCCACCGGCTCCGCCAAGAGGTGCAGACGACTTTCCCTGAAGGGACTACTTCGATTTCGAGGCTGCCTCGCATGGTCCCGCTTCTGCGGTTTCCCAGTCCCCCCAGTACCATGCTCCTGCCTCCTACACGCGTCCTGTCGCTCGCGCTCCCGTATCCGCTACCAACATGTAAAGGATCACTTCGGCGACATCAAGAATATTCCCTCTCTTGATGTTCTCCTCAGCTACCTTAGCAATCAAGTCAACTCGCCTTATGGCCCTCGCTCCTCGGGCTATCGCCCATCGCCTCAAATCCAGGCAGAGTCTCGGCACAAGTTCTCTTCTGCTACCCAGCCAGGCAATACGGCTAAAATGGGTAGCGAACGTGGGTTCAAGCGTCCTCGTTTGGACATGTCGAATAATGGTGCTAAAAACACCCATCACTCTTCGACGGCTCATTCAAGTGCCAACCCCGGTCCAGACCATTCCAAAAAGAAATTCTGTCATTTCTGCAAGCTTCAGCGAAAACAGAACGGGCAAGATGTTGCTGCTACCGGATTTTCTGAAGCCGAGCGCCACGCTCAACAAAGCTCCGACCCCTGGTAGTTTTCACAAGCAGGCCAAAGTCGATATGGTTGCCTGTCAGAGTATCCACTCTGATATGACTGTCATGCGGCCCCTTCATGTGCAGAGGATATAAAAAGGCATATAAAAAATATCCAAAGCCCAAGGAACGGAGTGTTGACTTCCATAGCTGACATATCTCTTTATAGTGGGCAACAGAACACGGAATAAAATAGCAATAGACAGCACAAGATTTTTTAAAATGTAATCTCTCCCTTGTATTTCACGACAAAGATACAGTTGAGAGTATAGGTGCTTTAGATGATCACATACAAGGACTACTCCCCTTAATCTCGCAGTGATGAGTACAGTTTAATAGTAGATGGAGACATTCAAGAGATTGGTGTGCAAAAAATAAGAAGACTTTGTTGTTTGAAGAATATCATGGTGGTTAGTAGGATAGTTAAACAAAAAATGTTACAATGGTTGTCTTACATGCTTGGTATCATATATACATTCTCATCTCATAGTCGCTATGGATATCGTCGAGATCTACAGAGACGTAACAAACACCATATGATAACTTGGACGTGAATGGCCTCCCATGTGGTGGTCACATACAGGCCATGGATCGAATCCCACCTTGACCAACCAGTTTCGAGATCCTTCCCTTGCTGACCTGACCTAGAAACTTCTAGAAGCCATCCTGGCTTCTATCACATATATAAATAGTATAGCAGTCCATGAGTAGTCTAGTTCTGCAGTTCATAACTCACCCTTTATTTACACATAAAATTTCTAAACAAGCACACAGTCGCCTTGTTACATTGCCTCTGTAACTCCACTCAAGCATGCTAGCAATGCGGATGACTTTGATGACTTATATGGTCATAATGCTTCTGGACCTGGTCCTATCGCGTCCTATACTAGGGTCAAGGCTGATCGGTAGACTCTTGGTATGATTGGTCGACTCTTGGCATGGCCGGTTACCCCTAAGAACAATGGTTTGGCCCCTATAGCCATTGATCGGCCCGGAAATATTTCAGAACACGGATGTCTTCGCCCTTAGCTTAACCATCCCTTTATTTACTTATAACCGCTCTTTCACACACGTGTATAGCCAGCAATATCCCAAATAGTTTGATCCTTACCTAGTAACTTAAATAACACTACGTCTCTGCCTTTGAAACTCACCTCTGACTTCCTGATCATTACATCTTCTGTTTCCCACACCTCCACCTGATCCTGCCTCGAGAAAGGTCAATTCTGCCTTACTCTAGTCAAGATTCTCGACAGGTCCCCTGTACGAGTTGGGTATCCTCGATGAAGACGAGGCTATAAACAAAGTGTCTGACTTGGATAACTGGTATGTGAATGCACCGCCGACTGTGAGTAGAGTCAATGCCATCATAGACTCTACTGCGAAACAAGGAAGCCTTTCAAGTCCAAATTATCATATGGTGTTTGCTATATCTCTGTAGGCCTTGACGATATTCACAGCGACCATTAGAGGAGAGTGTATGTATAATATCAAGCATGTAGAACAACCACTGCAACATCCCTTGCGAGACTATTCTACTAAACACCAACCTATTCTCCAAACAACAAAGTCTTCTTATTTTTCGCACACCAGTCTCTTGAATGTGTCCATCTACTATTAAACTGTACCCCTCACTGCGAGATTAAGGGGAGTACTTCTTGTATGTGATCATCTAAAGCGCAAATACTCTCAACTGTATCTTTGTCGTGAAATACAGAGGAGAGATTACATTTTAAAAAAACATGTGCTGTCTGTGGCTATTTTATTTCATGTTCTATTGCCGACTGTGAAGAGATACATCAGCTATGGAAGTCAACACTGTATTCCTTGGGCTTTGGATATTTTGTATATGCCTTTTTATATCCTTTGCACATGGAGAGGCCGCCAAAATGATTCTGCTGCAGTCCACGTTTCTATCAATGGTCATACCACTATTGGTATGATAAACACTGGCGCTGATATCGCCATTATTGATCGATCTTTTGCTCGTACTCTTTCAATTGCTTATGACAAGATAGATGCAGTTGTTGTGATGGCCATCGGCTCGCAACAGATACAACGTGAAAGGACAATTGAGCCAATCACCTTATCTTGCAATGGCCACTCCATCTGTGAGCGAGTAGACGTAGCCGACCTGAATGACAAGGCGGTTTTAGTCGGCGAAGATTACTTCAATAAAGTAGGATTTAGACTTACAATGCAAACCTTGATGTCTACTCCTTTGGATGTTCCATTGATTGGCCCCATTCCTGCCATCTTCCCAACAGACGATGACACTTTATTGGAGGGAGAGAAGGACGATGCAGAACTACTCTCATTAAGAGAAAAGTTTATCCGAGAATTAGGGCCCTTGCCCGAAAAAAATTCAAAAATCGATCCTTGCAGTCACTGCCCAAAGGAACTGATGTACGTTAAGCTTCGGGTAAAACCTGGCTGCATTGTCAATGATAAGCCTCGTAATTTTTTATATCGTGCTCAAAGAGATGCTATCAATGACACCGTAAAAACTTGGTATGAAATAGGTCTTATTGTGGATGCTCCTCCAGGAAATCCTTACAACAACTCTCTTACTGTTACAACAAAAGTGTTGCCAGATGGTTCAGAAAAAGTACGAGTGTGCCTCTCCCCTGTCATTCTGAACGATCAGCTTGTTGACGTTGATACATTCCCCTTGCCCAAGGTATCCGATGTTATCAACCAAGCTGCATGTCACAAGTACCTTTTCACAGTTATCTTATCACAGGCGTATCATCGTGTGGCAGTAGAACCAGAGAGTCAACCGCTAACTGCTTTTACTCACCAAAGAAAGCAATACATGTTCGCGCGAGCTCCATTTGGACTCAAACCATTGACAAGCGTCATTCAACGAGGCATATCCACACTTCTTGGACCATAGTTGTTTTGTAGGCCATACATTGATGACATTATTGGTTGGGGTGACTCGTTCGATGAGACCCTAGAAAATGCCAAAGCACTCATCCAGGTCCTCACTTACAATAACTTTATTATCAACCGAGACAAATGTCACTTTCTCCACACACATATTGGGGTGTTAGGGTTCATTGTTAGTGAATACGGTCGTAGAGTAAACACTAAAAGGTTCTCGAATTCAAGGAATTGGACTCCGCCCACCAATGCCAAGGGCATTCGTCGTTACCTTGGCACGTTCAATCATTTTCGCGAGTTCATTCCTCTGAATCCTCTGTGTTCCCGCTTGGCGGCTCTGTTAGAGAAATTTCGCAACGTTTGAGGGATTTTCATTCTTGACCCTCTAGAGATGGAATGTTTCAAAGCTTTCCTGGAACTGATTGCCAAGGCTCCTATCATATCATTCCCCAATTTTACTCTCGCCTTCTACGTGGCAATCGATGCATCCAATGTGGGCATCGCTGCAGTTCTGTACCAATCGCCCAATGGTGAGTTTGTGTCTGGTCAGACCAGGTACATTGCGTTCCAATCTCGTGCTTTATGCACAATCACGAGAAAAATTATCCTGCATACAAAAAGGAATTGCTGGCTGTTATTTTTGCTCTGCGACGTTTCCATTATTATTTGATGGGACGTGAGTTCACTTTACTTACCGATCACAAACCGTTGACTTTTCTTACCAGTCAAAAATCCTTCTCCAATCAGATGTTGGCTGAGTGGAAGGAGACCTTTTTGCGGTTCACGATCAATATTGTCTATCGTCCAGGCATCCTCAATATTATTCCTGACACTCTTTCTCGAGCATTTCCCGAGAGTGTTCTAAAGGGTGATCATCATAAACAAGTGACTCAAAGCATGGCCAGTCAACATACAAGAGTAACGAAAACCTCTTCTAATATTATGAGTGTTTCTCATTCGAATGAATAATTGCAATCGTCGCCCTCCATGGGCAGCTCTAATTTACCACAAAGAGTCTTGCAGGCACAATCCAATGCTCTTTCGTCCAAAACATGATGGGTGACACCGAATATTACGTGCCTTCTCCTGAAGAAAGGAAAGAACTACTTACTGAAGTTCACGCATTCGGTCACTATGGTCATCATGCCATGATTCAAGAATTGTATGAACGCGGCATCAAATGGAACAACATGCAAAAGGATTGCAGTGAATATGTTAAAACCTGCATCACTTGCCAAAGGGTTAACCTTGCTAAAAGGGGTTATCATCCCATGCGAGCTATTCATGCAACCATGCCTGAAGAGCATCTAGCTATTGATCTGGCCGTTGGTTTGGAACCTTCCAACAGAGACGACGTGCACATTCTTATCGTCGTAGATGTATGCACTCGCTTTGTATTCCCCCATGCGTTAAAAGACAAGACTGTTGCTGGTGTAGCTCGTCTTCTTTTTGATATGTTCTGCTTCATAGGCTTTCCTAAAATTATTCAAGGTGATAATGGTGGAGAGTTTTCAAACAAATTACTCCAGGAAGTCCTATCAAAATTGAAAGTAGAACATCATCTCTGCACTCATTATCATCCTCGCTCCAATGGTGTTGCCGAAAGATCCGTTCAGAACGTCAAAAGCATGCTGAGAAAAATGGTGCAAGAAAATCCTACGGATTGGGATCGACATCTGCCAGCTGTACAGTTGCAGATCAGTGCACGTGTGTCGAGTCTCCATAACTCTTCGCCATTCAGCCTGTTTTTTTTGGTCGTCCTTTCCATCGCCCAAGTGATCACAATGGCACGGAAAGCAATCTGCTTACCGACGAAGATATTGAAACAAGGCTACGATACCTGACTCAGTTGGTTTATCCAGCGATATCGGAAATGAGCAAGGAAAAGCAAGAAAAAATGGTAGCCAGGTTCAACAAGACACACAAGCTTGTTAATTATGAGAATGGTACCATGGTCATGGCAAGAGATGAACGCACCGAAGGAACTACGGCTCCAAAGTTTGAAGGCCCTTTCATGATTGGTGATATATATCATGATAATTCATATATCTTACTTGATGGCACAGGTTCACCACTTTCACGTCGCTATGCTCCTTCTCAGTTGAAGTACTATGGGCAACGCAGCTCACAGTTCCCTGCTGCTAGTGAAGGAAGAAAAGTTCAAATTCAGACGCTACATCAGAATCGTATGAAGTTGAAGCCATTCTCGATCATACACAAGACGAGAAAAATCCTCATATGTATCACTACTATGTGCGTTGGAAAGGGTATGGTCCTGAACACAATAGCTGGATTTCTTTTACAAACTTTGACGATATCCAAATAGTACGTAACTATTGACGTCAGCTGAGAAAGCAGTTGCTTCCTCCATATGTCCTGGACAATGTGTCCCACGAAAGACAAGACGATAACAAAAATAAAGGCACGACGAACAAAAGAAAAAGGCTGGCTACCGATGGTGCCATGCCCTCTCACATTCCCTCCTCATCTCAGAATCAAGGCTTGCGGAAATCAAAACGCAACAAAAACTAAGCCTTCGCTTGCTTTTAATAATAAGCTATCTAGTTCTACTCTATCTACTCTGCTACTTCTTCAGTTGTCGTTCCCACATCTCCGTGGCCTTGCTATATGCATCGCTACTTGCACGCTGTGACTCCTGAAAAGAGCGCCAAGCAGCTAGCTGAGTCGTGTTAAAAGCATTCCAGGCGGCATCGATAGCTGCCTGGGTGTCACGCCTGTCAGCTTGAATCGCCAACAGATTGGGACAGGCGTGCAAGGGTGGGCCAGGAGAGGGCACGGTCAGCCGACTCAGCTCAGCAAAAAAAACACGCTCACGCTCACACACTCGCTCGTAGTGGTGATAGTATTGCGAATGCACCTCGGGAACCAAGTACTGGTTGGAGAGCTGAGGTTCCAAGTCGTTTAAAACTTTCACCGCTCTACGCCACTGCTGCCACATGTCGAACCGATAAGTGTCGATGTGGTAAGGCTCAGCAGGAGCCGACGCGTGAGGACTATCCTCGGAGACAAAAGATACCTTCTTGATCATGGGAGTAGCAAGCGGAGCTGGGAGACGAGGTGATCCGGCGACAGTAGGAGAAGCCGAGCCTCTGGGAGGAGAGGAAGACAAAACAGTGTTGGTGATGTCGTTGAGGGGCTTCTCATCCTTTAGGATGCAGGGCTTGAAGATGAAGGAATGGAACCATTGTTGTTGCTGCTGGAGTTCATAATGAGGAAAGTGGAGAGTAGTTGAAGTGTAAGTTGTGAAGGAAGAGTTGTCCTCATCACCCACACTTTCCTCCATCTTTTAGTTCTCATTCACAAACGTCACTCATCACTAAGGTGCATTTGTCAGCTGTCTTCAGTCCCACGTTTGTCTCCGGCTATGAGCAATCATACGTTACTAGTCAAAGTTACTTTTTATATGATTCCTGGGTATGATTCAAACTGTATCTGAACAAAATGAAAAAAAAAAGGAAAACACTACGCTACACCACTACGAAAATATCTTCCGTAACGCACTACGAAAATATCTTCCGTAACGCGCCCCGAAACGAACGCTTGCTCTTGAGCTGCTCATCCTTCCTCAGCTTGGCAGCGCTCTCCTTTGCTCCAACATGCCCCTGCCGCGCAGCCTTGACGTACCACTCCAACGCCAACCCCAGGTTACTAGGCATCTCTAACCCCATCTCATGCTGGAACCCCATCATGTTCTGGGCCTCGACATGTCCTAAATTGGCCGCCCTGAGGTACCATGCCCTTGCCAGAAAGTAATTCTTGGGCACCCCCTGGCCCGCGCCGTACAGATTTCCAATCAGGAATTGAGCATTGCCGTTCCCTTGTTCAGCTGCCTCGTTCAACCAGTACATCGCTGCCTTGTAGTCCTGCGGCACGCCCAGTCCCTTCATGAACATCTCGCCTACATGACGCTGGCCCTCTGAGTCTCCTCGAAGAGCCGCCTTGAAGAACCATCTTACTGCGTGTTCGTACTGGCCACGATCATCTGCCTGCATGTACATCAGCCCCAGCCTGACTTGAGCCTCTGTGTCGCCGTATTCTGCGTTGGCAAGGGTCTGCTCAAAGCTGTTAGTGTTGAGTTGAGGAGGACTAGGATTTTCATTCTTGACTGGGTTCTGAGCTGGCGTTGGCAAGTCACATTCGTCCAGACCATAGGATTGAGGCGCTCTAGCAACTGGAGCGCTGGCTTTGGGGGGGATGACTGTGGGAGCGCTGGTTGTAGGCGTACATGTGCTGGGCGTAGGAGTAGCAACATCTTCGTCGTCAGCCTGGTCGGGGTGCACTGGCAACATGTCGATAAAGTCATCGTCTGACATTTGAGATGACTGCTCCCATTTTGTGTCTGTCTCAGTAGATGTGTCAATAAGCGTCTCATCTGTCGTGTCCTGAGTCGTTGCAGACGTATCATTAGGGGATTCCTCTTGTGTCATTACGGTTGGGTCTTGAGTCTCTACAGCCGTTTCCTGTCTCGCCAAAGGCGTTTCCACACATATCTCTGCCGGCGTGCTCTGAGCCTCCATATAGGTCTCTGCACAGGACATGGCATTCGAATCCGTTGACGAATCTTTGCCGGAACTGCCCAAGATGGCCTCAGGAGCTGCAGCCGAGCGATTGGGCTGGTTACTAAATCAAGTTTAATAAATGCAACTGTAATTAATATTTTACACTGTGTCAATGCACAAAATCTTGTTAAAAAAAACATGTGTATAAATGTCAACTTACAAGATGAGACGAGAGATCTTGCGCTGGGCAACGGCATTGCCTTGATAAGCCGCCTTTAGGTACCACTCGAACGCTCTGGACTCGTCTAGCACAACGTCTTTACCTTGGGCAAAGAGTTCACCCACACTCAGATGTGCGTGCCCGTGGCCACGACAAACTTCCTTCAAGTAGCATTCCAGCGCCTTTGTAAACTCCTCTGGCGTACCCTCGCCCTTCTCCTCGAGTGCAACCAAGTCGATGTGGAGAATGATCCTCCTGAACGCTTCTTTGGCGTCCATGCGAGGCCGGGGTTTAGGTGTTGGGGCAGGTCGAGAAGTAGGAGGACGCGAAGCAGGAGGACGTGAGGCAGGGGGATGAGAAGGTGTAGCCCGGGGTTGATGATAAGGCACTCGTGTATGCTGAGTAAGCTGAGTAGGCGCCTGCATCTGGTTCCAGAACGACGGGGTGGGCATTGTCCTGTAATTGGGGATTTCATACGAGTAGGTGCTTGATGAAGAAAGCGTCCTCGGATCCCGCAGAGCATTTGGGGGGCGTAGTGAGTCGAGAGGGTCATATTTTGGGTATTGTGAGGCTTGACTTGCAATCTCGTCAAATGTAGACTGGACTGGAGGCGGGTCTGTGGAGGTGAACTGGCCATCGACCACAATGTCTATGATATCGTTTGGGACGGCATTGAAACGAAGGGGTTCGAGACTGTCGTAGGAAACAAAAAATAAAAGTATGATAAAAGGTGAGAATACATAGTCAAATAGCAATTGAGTTCAAGCAGCGCTTTCAGCTAGTATTTAGAGACATATATATACCATTTGAAGTCACAGCTCTTCAGAAACGGTAGGATCTTGGTGCCATGTCTAGGGTGAGATGCATCCTTGAACGCCTGCAGGATATCCTCCCAGAGGATGATTTTCTTGCCATTGCTGGGGTCAGAATTGATGACAACGTGGGCGACGGGTGCGTAGAGAGTGGGGAACAGGTTGTTCTTGTGCACCGGCCGAACTGTCTGGAGGGGCTCTTCTTCGTGCGGGTCGTTGTGGTCCATAGCTGTGTGACAATCGACTGTCGGGGTGTGAAAGAGGATGGACTTTTTTTTTTGTGAGCGGTGATGTAGAGAACGAATGTAGCTGTTGCGAGAGATGGTGGTGGTGATGGCGAGTGGATGAGGAAGGCAAAAAGAGCATAAAATAGAACGAGGGCGAGGAGTAAAAGCGGCGTGTGGCTGGGGGATGCGGCGCTGCAATTTTGTTAGTGTTGCAAAATAAATCCAGGGACGCTCAGGGACCAGCTCGTCTCCATTTGTCTTTACTGACTCAACCCACTACCTCTTTGCTATTATGCTGAATAGAGCATCAATCCGCGGAAGCCTTTTGATGACTTGGACTTCTGTCATATCTTTTGTTACTACTCTGTTATGCACCACCACTATTCCTATCAAGCGAGAAAAACAGGACACGTGGTGAATGGAAGTCGCGATATTGGTGGCGGGGTTTTGGGGTAGAGTTGCGAATGGGTAAATGAACGTTTGTGTATTTTTGCAACATGAAGAGAAGAGCTATTGACCGATCAAAGTCGCACTTCTTCGGTAGCCAAGCACGTGGTCAAGCAGGTACCGTCATCAAAACGCGTTTTTTTTTTTTTGGAAAGAACAAGGAAAAGTTTATTATGGTCAGAAAGAATTAGAAAAAAAAAGATGTAAGGGTTGTACATGGAAAGTTCTTTTAGGTGGTATAAAAATATCAAAACGATCGATCAAAATAAGCCTCGCGCTCTACTCTCCCCTCTCCTACGTCGCAAACATGGTTCGATAGAACTCGGAAATACTGTCCGGCTCCTCAGATTGATGTGTCTGCAGCACTTCCTGGATATACCTCGCACGCACCGCACTCGGCTCCGTGAAAAAGTCACCCATCAGTCGACATGCCTTGTCCGCAGATATGGCCGTGTTGCGGACTAGACTGCCCAACGCGTGTCGCGACACAAGCATCCCATCCGCTAAGGGTCCAATCATCAACGGGTTGGCCGCCAGTCGGACTGACCCCGCTGTCGTATGAGACCCTTGGATTAAAATTCGGATCCAGAATAGCCCTCCCGCAGAATCGCCCTCCAGCGGGTGGATCAAGATAAACACCATAACGTTCTGGTCAATCAACGGCAACAAGTTGACCATCCGCTCCCGGTCCTCAACCCAGACAACCGCTACTTGGTCATGCATCGTCACCGACCGGAATTGGTCGACAAGTCGATGGTCCTGCAGGTACGGAACTTCGGTGCTTGATGGACGCATCAGGTAGGGGACATGAAAAATGACCTCACAGTTGCGGTCCGCGAAATAGGGTGTTGTATGGCAGACGTCCTTGTTGAGTTGACCTAGGTATCCTGAATGCGTCTCAGTCTGAATCGGCCATCCAAGGCAGTCGAGGAACCGCGAAAAGTCCTTGGACAAGCCTGCTGGCGATCCATGAATCAACTCATCGTAACCAATGTCTCCAGACTGTGCAAAATAAACACTCACGCCCATACAGTCTCTCCTATTACAGTTCAAATGATAAATAACAGTAGCATTAGTGGCAGTTGAAATAGAAAAGAAATAATTTAGTAAAGCAGCAATAAGGAGACTGATAATGAGGTACTTACTCTTTGAGGCCGTCGAGGAACTGCAGCTCTGCTAAAAGTCGCTCTGAGAGGCGCAGCGGCATGATGCGTGAGCGGTTCTCCAAGGAAAGGTATCCCATCTGCGCCATTAATATTCTGAACACATGAGACCTATCGCGTCAACATAAAAATACCAGCAGAGTTAGTGCTTTGTTGCATACTGTAGTCCCTATTACATAGAAAATGAACATGAATGTGTCTTACCCTGAAGCTTGGGTGGCCTGCTGGGATGATGGGGGTACTTCCAGTTCTCCTTCGTCAAAGGCCGACTTGGGCACTGCCTCTGCTCTGAGTGTCTCTGGTTGATCGACTGTGACCTTGGGGTTCGTCAAGCTCTTGGTAGCACGCACATACTGCTTCAGTCCAATCCCTGCTTCATCCGCAGCCTCGATAGCCATAACGCGAAGTCTCTGACCATAAGCAATCGTGTCGGCCTCTTCATCCTGAGCACCCGCTGGGTCGACGTGTCCATTCTGTTCCTTGAGTCCGTGATGTCCATCGCAATCTCCCTCCACGCGTGTGCTCTTCTTGATACCGTTGTGGGTGACCTTGTTACTCACTCGCAACTTCCAAGAGTTCTTGCCATTGGAGTCTCGCATGGTGACCACAACAAACGGCCCACGATCGTCCACAAAGCTTCCAGAGTCGCGGTGGCTGGCGGGAAGTTGTGACACCTCGCAACAACCGAGGATGATGCGCCTGTCCAGCAAAAAGTACCGAGCTGGACCCATGGAACCACCAGCTTCAGTGGAAAGATGGTGATGGAGGTGACGCTGCTGCAGGTCCAGTGACGCAAAGTCCGCGTTCTCCTTGATGTTGACCAAACTCGTTCGATTCATCGCAATATCGTTCCACATGGTCGACATCCGGCTCGGTCCAATGTCGTCAGTCCAGACTGGGAAATGGCTGAGCTGATTCGAGAACACGGTCATTGTCATCTCTGCAGCATGCTGGATTGCCGTAAGGTCAGGGCGAGACGCCTTGACCTGTCCTGAAATCGATGAGCTGGCCGATCGGTTCTTGCGGCTCTCCTTGTCCTTTTTCAATTCCTGACTGAGGATCTTGATTGGCCCTGGGTATTTGTTGTTGACCTGGAACAGCTTGGCGGCGCCACTGGTCGATGGCTTTGTCAATGACAGAGGAGCTCCAACAGCCGAAATCATGGCATTTCCAGCAGCGCCTCCTCCCCATCGTCTTTTTTCCTGCTGCGGTTTAGGAGGGACGACAGATGCTTCGTACTCCTCCACGCGTTCAATGATGTGGATTCCGGCGGCAATGGAGCTGATCACTGCAAGATGACAATCTTGGTCGCCCACGATCCACTGTCCTGCTAAGATCCACTGCAGCATACACTCATAGGCACGGACTACCAAGAGATGGGTTGTTGGCAGTTGTCCGTGATTTGCTAGGAGAGCATCCACATATCTGCACAGCGCCAACACTAACTCACGCGCGCAGCTCTATAACATCGAAAGTACGTGATTGCAACCTGTAAGAAATTTTTGTCACCAAAACTTATTATTTTTTGTTAACACAATAGCGAAGAGAAAAAAAGTTACCTTGCTATCCCGCCGCACATGTTCGTAAAGTCCAGCGCATCCAACAAGGACATCGAACGCAGAGAGCGCCACCTCAACGGGAACCTGAATGCTCACGATCTAATAGTATGAAGGTAAATGTGCACAATGGTGAGAACTCTGAGATATATTCTTTGACAATATCGAAGCACAATTGAAAATAGTAACTTCGCGTTTGTTACCTTTTCTTGGATGGTCTTGACGACGACACCGACCAATCCTGGACAGAACGCGACATCTTCAAAGACATAGACCTCGATCAGGTGAAGCAGATACCGCAAGTTGAACGACGACGTCTCTGTCTCCAAGCAGTTCAGCAGCATCTCCAGAATGTAATACTTTAGAGTCGTGAATCGCTTTGATGCCGGAATAGAACCATCCGCAGGAGAATCTGCTGTGTAAAGGACTCTAATCTGTGAACAGAAATGAATAGGAAAAATGTACGTTTAGTTACGTGACAAAGACAAAGAACAAAACATTATGCCCAGCTATCACAAGAACTCATCATACCAGCTGGGCCAAGATTTCCTTGTCCTCACGCGCGCCCTTGCCCTCGAATCCAATGTTGGCTGATTTGGAGAGTCCTTGGTTCCAGTCTTCCTTGAGCTCAACTTTTTCAAAGTGGTTGGGCAGACACATGATACAACCAGCGACTTTCAAGGCCGCAAGGTGCAAATCCTCCAGAACTTGCTTCTGCTTCTCCTGGCTCTGATATCCAGTCGTCACTCGAATCTTGCCACTCATTGCCATCCGAATACCAATCACAAAGTCGGGAACCATCATCCTCACGCCTTCCAGTTCGCTGGTGAAGAGTTCAGTCGAATGCGCCAGGATGGTTGGAAGAGATGACTCGCTGCGAAGTCCGATCGAGAGCGCCTCATAAAACCGTTCTGTGTAAATGCGAAGAAAAGGTCTTGAAGTCGGTTGTCGCTTGCTGAATATCCTGCACAACACTCCAAAAGCTGACGCTTGAGCGTCGGTATAGCTCTCCACATGGTCATGCGCCCGATACGATTGCCAGTGAGATGGAGGTGCGGGTTTGTCGGCTTCTGGGAATTGGAGGAGAGCAATTTCAAAGAGCCAGGATCCAAACATGTGCATGATGGTGTTGCCATCTGGCGATGTCGGTTTGGGCGGTGTCGATGACGGGGATTTGGGGTTGGAGTTAGCGGGCGTAGAATGGTTGGAAAGTGAAAGTGATGAAGACGAAAATATGTCGGTGGGAGTTGATGGTAGCGGTGGAGATCCAGGGATCGTCGATGGGTTGTTGGTATAGCCGACGGCCAAAAACGTCTCCACCATCTTGCCAATCCCGTTGACAGCTGCAAGGCAGTGAGAGGGTGCGAGCTCGGAGGGGTTCTTGAGAAGGTAAATAACTCTGTGCCAAGCGTAAAGAGCGAAATCCGCCTGCAGATCCAGCCCGATGTTGTACCCGCCCACTGCCAAGTTGACGACATCCGTGCCCTGTCCTGGTCCGTAAAGTAGCCTGACGACTCGCTGACAGAGTCCGAGTGAGCTGGCGGCCCATTGGTGCATGACTGGTATCCGGTGAATCCAGCCCTGGAAGCACTGCTTGAGGACATCCCACATGCGAACTTGGCGAATGTTGGATCGAAGCCAAAGCTCAAACAAAACTCGCAACAGGTGCTCACAGAGATCGTCGCTCATCTTCCCGTGCTCTGGCAACGCTGCCGATGTTTTGGGCTGCTCGCGGAGTAGACTGTCGGTAATGCCGAGGATGACCTTGAGTAGGACCTCCCACGTCTCCTCCGAAAAGGTGCTCCCGAGTTGCCGTCCTGCCATGGTGAGGACCGTGAGAACCTTTTTGCAGAGCTCGATGTGCCGCTGTATTAGAACGCCGATGGGTACTTGGGGTGTAGGAGTGATATGATACGCCGCCGATGCCGATAATGCTGAAGCTGCATGTCCTGTCGAGAGCAATGTTGTTGAGGTGTGGCGATGGTGCTGATTCTGCGAGCTGTTAGATCCTGATGATGGAGGTAGTGTCGACCGGACTTGGAATAGTAGCGAGTAATGATGAAATATCGTCTATGAAATGAACAATGCAATCGTTAATAAAAGAGCGATTGGTGATAGCTCATGCAGCTGCTTTGACGTTGGATACCTCAAGCACCATACCTGATAGAGAAGCTGCTCGTCAGCGGTGCCTGTCGCCTGCCTGAAGGCCATTGGCCTCATCTGCGGCTCAAAGAGCCATTGAGAGTAGAGCTGTGTTGTTTCCTGAGTGATCGACAGTTCTTCCAGGGGTAATGCGAATCCTTGACCAAGGACTTCCATAGCCCACTTCATGTGAGCCATAGAGGTGAGAAGAGTCAAGTCCGAGGTGACTAGCAGAGTCGAAGTGACCTCTGTGATCATTGTCTTTTTGACATTCAGCGGGAAACGGGCCAGGACATTGGACACTATTATCAATTGAAGGATCATTGGTTCACGCGTGTTAGCAAACAGGGGTGAAAAAAATGGCACGTTTTGAAGATGGGTAGGAAGGGTTGAACAGTTGCAGTGTGAGTGACATAAGCCTGTTTCGTGTTTTATTTGTTGTTCGTTCGTGGAATTCCAGACGAGAGATATGCAGGAGAGGGTTCAATTGCCTGCAATGTGGACTCACATCTATCCACGTCCCTTTTTTTAGAAGAATAGTAGCATGGTCCTCCTTTCTTCTTTCTTTCCTCTGACAGTTGTTACCTGGGTCATGGTTGAGCAACCCGAGCTGGGCAATCCAGTCCAGGAACATGATATGGATGTCGTTTTGTGCTCCCGCCTTCTTATTAAGCGGCTGGTATTTTTAGACAGGGCGTGTCGAGGGTTGGATAGATGCAATGCGGGTCATCAAAAGAGCGAACGAGAGCGAAATGGGTAAAGGGAAAGGGAGAGGAGGAAGGAGAGAAAGAGACAAGGGTTGAGTAGTGTTAAGTGGGGGAGGGGTTGGATGGTGACAGGTAGTGAAGGTGAGGAGGAGTGAATGTGAAGAGGAGATGAGAGTGAATGTGTGTGTTGAGGAGTGGTGTTTGGTGGCGGAAGGAGAAGGAAAAGATGGGAAATAGGAGTAAGGAACAGACAGGCAGGAACGAGCAACGAGGAGTGAAGAGGTGACAATAATAAGGAGACGACAAGCAACAAAGTCCGTGGAGGTCAATTCCTGCCACACTACACACGTGTGTCTCCAATGGAACGATTCAGGTCCTTCATGGGCTGTGCCTTTAATCATTTTATCACCTGACCAGTTCCTCGTGACGTCATCTGCACTCTCTGCAGATGGCGAGAGAGCGGCCGCATAGACTCACACCCTACCCTGTTCATATCTCGCTCTCGTATTTCCACTCTTTCCACTTTCTTTTTGTTCTTTGTTCTTCGCCCCATCCGACCTTGGCACCTCTCCCCTACAACGCACACGCACACACCACGCAACACCCCTTGTTCCTCTTCTTCCTCGGATAGCAAAAAAGAAACAAGAAGAACTCTTCTTCTTCTTGACTGATCCCCTCCTTTCTTCTTTCCCATTCCTTTTCTCACTTTCTTGACGCATATTTATATTTTTCAAACACAGTTCACTTCACACCTTCCCACCCTTCATCCTTCACGCTAGGGAGTCATTTGAGCCCTCAGACAAAAAAAAAAAAAAAAAAGACACAAAAGAAAATGTCATTGGACTCCCCGCTGCGCGCCTACCTGCGGGATGCAGCCCGCAAGTTCGACTCGATCCTCTCAGACTCAGCCCTGCGCGAAATCAACTCGGAGCTCTACGCCTCCCTCTGGGACAATAACGACGAGTTCCTCCACAACTACTTCCCTTCCTTTGTTGAGGCCCGTCAGAACGGCGTCACCGTCCTCACCGACAATGGCGATGACGAGTACTCGCCCTCTGCCAGGGGCCAAGCCTGTGGCCATACCTTCAAAATGGGTGAAGGTGTCTTCCGTTGCAGGTAACATTTCTCACTCCTTGCATTTCGCATATCTTTTCTTTATCATTTCGTGTACGTTTCATGATCCGTTGTCAAGTCACTGGTGTGGCGCATGGTGATCTTATATGGCACTAAGAAACGCGCACTATGCCCAGACGGTGTTGGCGTTTGTACTTGTGTCAGTGAAGCTAATGAAGCATAAGATAAATGGAAAATAAGTAATAAAAATACACGACATGGCAAGCGCTAAGAAAACAAACACCACTTTGCCTGCCAACCAAATAGGACGTGTGCATTGGACGAGACTTGCGTGTTTTGTTTGCGTTGCTTTCACGGAACCAACCACGAGGGTCATGATACCTCGTTCTCGGTCAACAACGGTGGAGGCGGATGTTGCGATTGCGGGGACCCAGAGGCATGGAAGGTCGAACTCGACTGCATCTATCATTCAGCCAAACACATTCCACAAGGCGAGACCGATCCAAAGAACCTGGAATACCCACCCGAAGTCACAGCATCGATTCGCCGGACAATAGCCGCGGTCCTCGACTTTATCATCGACACCATGACGACATCGCCCGAGAACATGAATGGAACCCGTGTGAGCAAAGAACAGATCCAGCGCGATGCAGTTGATGCCGGGAACATTGCAGGAGAGACGACGAACCTCGACCTCATGGACTTTGTCTGTATTCTCTGGAACGATGAGGACCACTCCTTCACAGATGTCATCAACCGAGTCTCGGAAACCACCAATATGGCATCCAATTATTCTCGAAAGATCGCCGAAACGGTTGATACACAGGTGAGTTTGTGGATTGTCATGTGACCATTTGTGGAACCTGTCTGGTAACGAAGCTTGCTTTGCTGAGCTCTTTCCAGGCCAGGATATCATTACGGCATGGCAAAGCAAGGCATGGTTACTTGCAATAAGAAGAAAAGAAGCTTTATGACTAATATGTACTCCTCAAAATATTTATATATCTCCCAATCACGCCATTGCCTTTTCAATTGATAGGGACGAGCTATCGTTGAAGTATCAAGCGACATTCAGAGACTCATGGAGATTGCGGAGAACCTGGCAGACATTGGGCTGGTTGTCAGCATTCGATCTGCCCGAGAGACATTCAAGGAGCAGCTGTGCGACGTCTGCATCTCCTTCTTGAAATCGCTGGCTTATATCAAAGGAGGCGCTGTCTCACAAAAGCAATCACAGGCCATTCGGGAAATCATATGCGAGGAGCTGTGCAGCGAATGGCGTCGGAAACCCAACAAGAACAACACCATGAGCCACCAGGACACCGTCGTCGAGATGGAGGACGACTATATCGACATTGTCGGAATCAACCCAGAGGAAGAGAGCCGTGTCCCCATTGTGTCTGCCCATGAACTGGATGTCGATGGCGATGTCGATATTTCAGGATCAGTCCACGAAGACGTCATCGACGACCACCCATCACGGCCTCACCACCATACCCACGCCCACGCCCACATCCACAACCACGACGGAGACTCGGAGATGTCACATGCTGCTCACGATGAAGATACCCTGATGGCAGAGAGTTCGAGTTCCAGCGTAGATCAGCAACCGTCCGACCCCTTTGCCAAGAGCGCCAGAGCCGGTCCTCCTCGCCGCAAACTCAGAATCGACTGGCTTCTGTTGCTCGACCTCAAGTTTTGGAAGCTTCCCCGAGCCAACCTTCGTGAGGTCTACATTGGTACATTGGTCCTTAGTCCAAAGTACAAGAAATTCATGGGTAAGTCCTGCGCTATGTGACACTTGAGCCTTTGACCATGTCATTTTTTATTTTAATCTCCATGCTAACTCTAACAATGTCATATTTTATGTCTCTTTTCTGCGAATGTGTGCGCTACATTAGCTGTGCGGTTTGCCTTCAATTATCTCAAGATTGCAAGAGCTTTCTTGGTGGTCGACCGTGAGCCAGAGCTGTCGATCATCCTTTTCTCTGTCCAGCTGTTCACGGTTCCGACGATTGCAGAGATGTTGGCGCAGGAGCATAACTTTATATACATCCTCTGCCAAATCCTGATCTCCTTCTTCCAAGGACCCAACTATGCCGGCGGGCCCATCAACTGCAACCTCCCTCCCTTTGAGAACAGACGTTACTTCCACATATTCCACGACTTCCGGTACATCCTGGCCAACGATGCCGTCAAGCAAATCGTCTCAAATCGCCCAGCATACCAGACGCAGATGATTGAAGTCCTCAACATGTTCCAAGGAATGCACCCCAACACTCGCTACTCTCTTGACCACATTGAATTCGAGCCCAACACCTGGGTCAATGCCTTCAACGTCACATTACAGCTCTACAAGTGCTGTCGACAGTTCTCTGACTGCTTTTCTTCCAACTCCTTGGTCTTGACTCAGGTTCTTTCACGGACAGTAAAGAAGATCTACGAATGGTGCGACAAGCACGAAGAGGAAATGCCCCAGCCTGCCGAAGAGGGTCCCAATTCTCACCCACTCCCTTCTGCCCAGGACCTTGCCCTGGCTGAGAACCACCCAATGATCGGGGCGCTTCCAACCGGACCAGCAACCATGCCAGCACACCAACCAGGTCAGGTCGTCCCCGCTCAGCCCGCAACAGCCGCCAGCCCCGCAACTCCTGCGAGGAAGACCCAAGTACATACTATTATCATGCCCACATCCCCACCAAGATCGTTCGATGTGATCGAGTACAAGGTCTCGGCCCAGCCTGTCGCCTTCCACCACCCTCTTCACTGGTTTTTGGCGGACTTGCTGGAGAATGTCAACTTTTTGGACTCGGCCGAGTTGCAAAAGGTTGGCTACGAGTCGTTCCGCCACTTGATGCTCCAGATTGTCGGTAGCGACCACGATTCGGATGAGAAGCGCGTCTTCAAGCTCCAGGAGATTTTTGACTACCCCCTTCGAGGTAACATATCCTGATCGCAGCTCATATAATATGACACCTTCGATTTTTGCGTTGCAATTCTAACGATTTACGTTTGTTGTTATTGCTGTACATTCATAGTGTGCGTGCTAATGGCTCAGATCAAGGCAAATGTCTGGGTGCGCAATGGATTCGTGATCCGCACCCAGGCCCAGTACTACCGCGAAGTCTCCCTCCGTGAGAACACATACGACTCGGACATTTTCTTGCTCCAGGTCGCAATGGTCCTCTTTGAGCCGGAGCATTTCCTGGTCACAGCTCTGGATCGCTTCGAGCTTTTGGACTGGTTCTCTGGCCAACGGGAGCACAGCACCTATGACCTATTGCAGATCGTGTTTATGGCCGAGGAGCTCTTGACCCTCTTGATCGTCTGTGTGTCCGACAGAGTCAACGCAGCAGGATTTACGATTGAGCAGGAGATTCGCCGCGAAGTCGTCCACGGTCTTTGCTTGAAGCCCATCGCCTACTCGGAGCTCACCAAGCGTATCCCTGAGCGTCTCACAGACCATTATAAGTTTGACGACACTCTCAAGGAACTCGCTTCCTACCGTGCACCCGACGGTATCTCAGACCACGGTCTCTACGAGCTCAAGGATCAGTTCTTTGACGAAGTCGACCCTTATTTTATCCACTTTTCAAGGAACAACAGTGAGGAGGCCGAGGAGATTCTTAAGAGCCGAATGATCAAGAAGAGCAACAACACCATCAAGTCGCCCCAGATTCTTCCCCGCCTTTCCACGATCGAGCGCGGCCCCTTCCAGAACCTTGGTAACATGATGCATACCAAGACCATGACCCAGATATTGTTTTACACCTTCTGGAACGTCAAAGCCGAGCCCAGGATCAAGTCTGACACCATCATCGATCAAGCCGCCTACATGATGCAGATTGCCATCCTCGACCCCAACAACGATGCCTTCAGGAGTCTTCAGCAGGATGCCGCGGGCGAGTCGTCGGGCATCGGCATGACGGGCTTTATGCGTCACGCCTCATTCGAAAAGTTCCCCGTCGTCATCAACGGAAACGAGCGCATTCGTCTGTCTCTGCTCTCGATCTTGATTCAGCGTGCAGATGACCCAGCCTACAAGAGCATTCAGCCCAAGTTGAACTTTGTGCTCAACAAGTTTGAGGAGCTCGGCTCAACCGAGGCGAAGGCGATGGTTGGTGAGTGGAAGGCCTCCAAAGGCCCCACTGAAGGCGGAGAGGCTGGTGTGAGCGAGGCTGAGGAGGTTGAGCGTCGAAAGAAGGCCAGTCAGGAGCGCCAGGCCAGGATGTTGGCTCAGATGGCCCAGCAGCAGCAGAGCTTCATGTCACTTAACGAGGATCTCTATGACTCGGACTCGGACGAGGCGGACGTAGAGTCGATGCACGAGGATGACCAGAATCCACTTGAGCTCGGTGCACAAAAGATTGCAGAGACGATTTGGCACTATCCCACCGACACCTGCATTGTCTGTCAGGAGGAGATGACTCAATCGAGCGAATACGGAATGCTTGCCTACGTCCAACCCTCGCACATACTTCGTCAGACGCCCATGGATGACCCCCAGTTCTTGCTCGAGTCTGTCGTCTCACCTCTCAGTCTCGACATTTCAGCCACCTCGATTCGCCCCTTTGGCATTGCTTCCAACTTTGAGAAGCACAGCGCCAACTTTGAGGCACCCAAGGAGGCGGACGCTGCTAGCACCAAGGAACCCGAGTCGCGGCCTGGATCTGGAAAGGCAACTGCAACAGGACAGCCTTACCGTCCTCAGAAGATTGCCAAGGGATTCCCGACGACGTCTCATCGCCGTGGACTTTATACCTCGAGCTGTGGACATTTGATGCACATCAAGTGTTTTGAAACCTATGTTCGTTCGCTCCAGCAACGCCATGAGGCCCAGCACAACCGCAACCATCCCGAGGACCCAGCTCAGCGCGAGTACATGTGCCCACTCTGCAAGTCGCTCGGTAACTTGTTGCTGCCGATTATCTGGAAGGGCAAGAAGCAGACCTACCCTGGTGTGCTGATCCCCGCTAACGGTAGTAGCCCTGTGGATTGGCTCAAATCAGGAGCTGTGACCGCCTTGGAGTCATTGTCGGCCGAGAAGAAGATTGCACAGGTGGAGTCGGACCCCACAACCCGACTTGTACGCGCAGGAGAACCACAAGCCATTGGAGCACGGCGACGGAACAGCAGGAGCCAAAACATGATCAGCCTTGTCCAGAGACTGATGGGTGATCCCACTGGTACAGCAACAACGCCGATGCAGGCGGCAGCGCTAACAGGCGGACCGTTCTCTCGACCACCTCCAGGAGCAATGCCCGGACCTTCGTCGTCCTCAATGGCACACATTTCCGAGTCACACGAGAGTCCTGAGTCTGACGCGATCAAGACCATGTATATGCGTTTGGCCGAGGTTTTCCAGATGAACCACCGCGATTTGCTGAGGCCCGAGGAGATTTTGACGTATCGACAGAACCCTAACCAGATCGGCGAGGTGAACGTGATGTGGGAGGCGTTTGCGTACACGGTCTCGTGCGTGGAGATCACACAGCGCGGTGTTAATGCGGCCAACGGAACATCGACCCTCATTGCCGGTATTCAGCAGCAGAGCTTGACACTTTTGCGCATGATGGCCGACACGACTATCTCGTACACGGCTATCATGGTGAACCACCCTGACGACCGACCCCGTCTCGCACAACTGAGCTGGGAGCGCCTGGGCAAGATTCTGCAAGGACACCCCGAGTTGAACCAAGCGGATAGCGCCTCGTTGCAGATGGTCAAGCCCTTACTCTTGGACGACCCCTTCTTTATTCTGACCGAGCTGACCCTACACCCACTTCCCGGAAATGTCGAGCCAGGACACCTGTTGGAGATTCTGTTGGTGGCAGAGATTGTCAAGACGGTGACGACCTTTGCGACATCGAATATGGAATCGTTGCTGGCAGCTGAACCCCGTATTGCTTCCTACACCCAGCACTCGCTCGATGCACTCCGCCCCGAGGATGCGGCATCGCTGAGGGCGTTTGTCGTTTATGTGATGAAGAGTTTGTCGATGCCTGTGGCCCAGCAGCAGCAGTTCCTGGACAATATGCCCGATAGGTTGCTTTTGAAGCTCCTTAAGACATACATCCTCCCGTTCCTACGAAAGTCGGCCTTGTTGATGGATGCTCGTCATGGTGTCCTGTTCCCAGAGACTCAGCCTGCCATGTCGACGGCAGAACCACTGGACGATGAGTACTCCCGCCTGGCTGCATTGTTGCATCTCCCGGATCTGCTTACACTGTGCACCAAGTGGATCGAGGATGATCTGTTGAAGGGCATCTTGACTGCTTGGTGCCACGATTGTGTGAGCCTTGCTGGGCCTGGCTCTTTCCCTGGTGGAATTCCTGGACAACATGGAGAGCTTGACATGTCGAATGTGCTGCGCATTGGTGGATCAAACGCTGGTTTTGGTGCTCATCATATTCAGGGATCATCATCGTCGTCATCTTCCGCGGGTGTACCGTCCAGTGCCTCGTCGCGGTTCATCACTTTGCCCATTGGTCTGAACCATCCTACGATCTATGAACTTGTGGGGTTGCCAAGGCGTCTGGACTCGCTCTTTGAGCTGAGCATCAAGTATATTTGCCCAAAGTGCAACACCGTGCCTCAGGATCCAGCACTTTGTCTCTGCTGTGGAACCATTGTCTGCAGTCAGAGCTTCTGTTGTCTCGAGGGTCTCGATAGTGACGGTCGTGGAGAATGCAATACCCACGCCCTCACGTAAGTCCCCTTTTTCATGCTTATTTGTTCCCTTTTATTTGGGTTCTCGCGATTTCCTAACTAACCTGTTTTTACATCGCCCTCCTTCTTTTACGCTTCACGACAATGCAGCTGCACGGGACCAGTGGGAATGTACTTGTTGATCAAGAAGTGTGTGATTCTGTGGCTGCATGTGCGGAACGGTTGCTTCCACCCGGCGCCGTTCCTGGACGAGCACGGAGAGGCCGATCTGGGTCTACTCCGAGGACGGCCCCAGTTCCTGAACCCACTCCGGTACGACGATCTCCGTCGTCTCTGGTTGACCCATGGTATCCCAATCCATGTCGCGCGCAAGATCGAGCAGTCATACGATATCGGCGGATGGCGCACCCTTTAGAAATAGCAAAGAGGAGGAGGGGGATTTTGAAATAATGGAGAAATAACGCAATCTGTAGAAAAAAAAAAAGAAAAGAAACCATTAAAAGAGCGAATATCATTTTTTTTTTTTTTTTTTTTTTTTTTTTTTTGGCATGCAATTTGTTTTATTATTCTGCGATATATTTTATTTGTACAACTGAAAAAATCTCTGTGCTTTTTGCGAGGATTGCCTTGCTTGTTCTCTACTGGCCGTAGTTGACATAATCCGCGTTCTCACAAGCTTCGTACTCGTTGATGAGATCCTGGACAACTTCTCTGGACTCGTCGAATTCCTCCAATCCATCCTGGAACAACGACCCCTGTCTGTAGGGTTCCAAGAAAGCATTTCGTTTCCGCAGCTTGTCGAATTGGTCACACGTCCTCTTGAACAGCTATTAGTGAACGAAAAATGGAAAAAAAAGAAGGGTCAGAATGAAGTCGCCAACAAAAAAACAGTGCAACGAGAGATTTGAAATGGTTGCAGTTGTAGGAAGGTAGAATTGAACAGCGTACAGAGGCGATGCTGGTATGGTTGGCGAGCATGAGGCCGCTGACACGGTGTGGGGTTTGGACGTAGGGAGATTTCTTGGTCAATGCGACCTGGATACTGGCAGGACCCCAAGGAATAAACGACGCCAACCTCCTCTCCCGAATTCTCAGCAACGACTTGTGTACCTATAATAACGAATACAATGCAAAAAGGTCAATTGCTTATCATAAACATGAAACCGCACAACATTATACTGCTTCTATTGATACATGTTCCAAGAAACTTACATCAGTAGGGTCAGCCTCTCCTTGGATGATATTAAGGATGGAGACATAGCAACTCTTCTTGGAGGGCGTAGTCGAGACCATCCTGTTCTTGGGCTGCAAGAGCCGACGCATCACATCCAGGACAGTCGTCTTTCTCACAGATTTCGTCTGGTCGATCCCGTCACTCGTGAAGGGTGTGTAGGAGGTCTGGAGGAAGTGACATTTTGGGGTCGGGATCAAGGAGGCGATCATGCCTACGAGGTCGTTGTTCATGTATCCTGGGTATCGAAGCGTTGTTGTGCTTGCCGACATTACCGTCGACACCTAATTATTTATTTGCATTACCATTGTTTAAGAATAACATTGTTGTTAGTTTTTCATAAACATGAATGTAGCTGGCAAATTATCTCATACAGGCGGAGAAGGGTCAAACGGACTTACGAGCTGGTTGGTCTGGGCCCAAGTGGGGTTAGGGATATGCAACCGATCACACGCAATCCTGGTCAACGCCGCATTATCCAAAACAACAACACAGTCCGCATTCTGGGTCAACCGCTTCAAACTCAGCATACTGTTATAAGGCTGCACAACTACATCTGACATCTCCTCATTGTTTGGGAAAACCGAATAAGTCTGGATCAGCTTCTTCGGGTACCGATCATTCAACCTCTCCAACAAGAAAGAACCCAGTCCTGATCCTGTACCTCCCGCAATCGAGTGCAACAGCATGAATCCCTCGAGCGAATCACTCCCGTCAGCTTCCCGGTCCAGTTTTTCCAGGATTTCCTCAGCCTCGCGTTCGCCGGATCCGTAACCGAGTGACCAGTTGTTTCCGGCACCACCACCGTCTTTGGAGAGAAAGATGTTTTCGGGGTTGTAGAGGTTGGCATATGGCGAAGATGTGATTGTGTTGATGACCTATGTATTTCCCAGGTTGCGAAAAGCGTACGGGTGTTAGTTTATCCTGATACTTCGTTCTATGCTTGCTTTTTTCCTGGTCATTGTAGCGTCGTCTAGCGCGTCCTGTTGTTATTGCATGTTGAACATACTCGTGGCTCCAGGTCGATGAGAATTGCGCGTGGGATATAGTGTTCGTCGTCAGCCTAACATGTCACAACAAGAGAATGTAACGTTGTTAGTTATCATGCATGCAAACAACGGTCCGAAGTGCAAACAAAACAAAAAAAATGGTGGCGCGCTCTGTATTCTCTCCTTATAGGTCCAGTACAACAAAACAAAGGCAACTGCGACAGTCGGCCTGTCGACTACTTTCTGACTCTCCATACCTGGTAGAAGAAGACATCCTTGCGGTCTCCGGTCTCGGTAGCATAGTCCTCCAGAGTTCCGTCCTTGCTGATTCCGTGCTCTGCACACAATTGCGCCCAGAACTCCTGTCCGACTATCAATGTGCAAAAGAAGTTAAAGAGCAGTGGTACGTGTCAGTGGATGTTTTGTTGCCTGGAATGAGTGTGGTGTGTGATGCGTGTTTCCTCTAGTTGAGACTGTAGTGTACAAGTGTATTTTACTCTGGTTTCCGCATTGTCCTGCCTGGATGGTGATGATTTCCCGTGGCATGGCGGTATGTCTGTTTGTCTGTGTGTGTGTGTGTTGAGTAGTGCTGGTCACGAAGAGTGAAAGAGCAAAAAAAAAAAGAAAAACGCGAGCAGTAAGGGAAAGTGAGCTGCTGGACTAAGCCACCCCTCGCATTTGATTTTGCGGTGGACAGACAGACAACCCTCGCGTTTCAACCTCGCGCATTTTGCTGGGGATGCTTGGTATGAACATTGTTTGATGTTTTATGGTGAAGAGAAACAGGGGGTATTCGTGTACGACAGGAGGAGAAAGGAAGCAAGCCTTGAACACAGCAGCAGGACAGGGTGTGAGTTGCCACTAAAACATTCAGGAACAAGGAAGGGATCACCGCTCCCGTCCATGACACAACGAAGAATAGACAATACAGAACTCATGTACCTGGCAATGTACCATATACCGGTATATTAGAATTAGACCCTTCGTTGTACCATGGAGCAATTGAAGATGGCACATCGAGAGCATGCATATTGTAATTGCAATACGAGACAATGAGGGAGACTCGGGCAAGAAGACAGTAGCACTTGAAAAAAAGCGAAGCAGGTCTCTCCTCACTGTCAATTCCACACTCACAGACACAGAGACTAGCCCAAACGCCGTTCTCTGACTGGACCATCTCAATTGTCCTCGCCACCTTCTCTCTCTCTCTCTCTTGTGTCTTCATTTTTCTTACTCTCTCTCTCTCTCTTTTCTTTTTTTCCCTTCTTTCTTCTTGCCTATCCTCCACCATTCTTCTTCTTTTCTTCTTCTTCTTCGTCTTCTTTTTCTTTCTCTTCTTCTCCGCATTCCTTCTCTCATTCAGCCTCTCCTTACATTCCTCATTCACCACTTTGCACTCCAACCACGACAATGCCTTCAGGACTACAAAGACTCCTTTCAAAACTAAAGCCCAAGCAACCCCAGGAGGGCGTCCAGCCTGTTCGTGTCGGCCCCCTCGGCTCGAACAAGATCATTTACATCACCACTCACTTTGACCCTGTCACCGACAAGAGCGTCATCCTCTGGAACGATATCCTCGTAGTCTACCCCAATGCGCTCTTTATCCAGCAAGATTCGCGAGTCCTTCCCTTCCTCAAAGGCAAAGACTTTCAATAGTACGTTTCTTGACTTCAAACAGTGTACCTCGATACTCCTTTTATTCTTCTCTTATTAACAGGCCTCCGATCTTGCTTTTTTTTTAATCGGAAATAGTCTTGAACCTCGGAGAGTCGCTGCCATCCCCGCCGTCGTTCTGGAAGTGATCGTGGACAACCCAACAACGACAACAATCCGACCAGAGCACACCAGCCCCATGTCAGACATCGGGTCAACAACCACATTTGCAACAACTACAACTCTAACTGATCACTACTTCAACAACAACAACACAAACATCGACAAAGCACGGACAGATAACTTGAAAACAGAGATCGAGGAGCCGGACGACACTCATCCAGAACCCACCCATACCATTCATACCCGCACCCACGCTGGAGGAGCAATTCCAACAATCGCCCCCACTTCCCATACTCAAAACAAGAGCGATGTTTCCATTGCAAAGAACAACAGCTCACTTCTCCCAGGCTCACTTCCCCCCAGCTCACAACACGCCGCCGTCGTTCCCGCACAGACACCAATCAAGGTTAGTCGACTTTCGGACACTTCGCCTCCCCCTCCTGCACCGCCAAGCAAGAATGGGAACACTCTCAACCAGACCCACAGCAACCCTTCCTCAGCAATGGACGGTGTTCTAGACAAGGCCAATAAAGGAAACGCTGAAGCCCAAATCGAGGTCGCTCGTCGTTACGGAACTGGCCAGGGCGTCCCCCAGAACCTTGAAAAGGCCTTGGAATGGTATATAAAGGCAGCCCAGCAAGGAAACATCAATGCCCAGTGCTGTGTCGGGTTCATGTATGAGCGAGGTCAAGGTGTCACACGAGACGAGGCCAAGGCGATGTCATGGTACCTCAAGGCGGCCTTGCAAGGAAACCCGCCTGCCCAGATCAACGTTGGATTCATGTACGAGCGAGCACAGGAGTACTCAAAGGCGATCGATTGGTACCACAAGGCGGCTGTACAGGGGTTCTCTCAGGCGCAGACGAACCTGGGATTCTTGTACGAGCATGGAAAAGGCACGGTACAAAATTATCCTAAGGCAATCGAGTGGTACCTCAAGGCTGCTGAGCAGGGCGCTACAGGGGCGCAGATGAACCTGGGCTGTCTGTACCATTATGGACGAGGGGTTCCGCAGGATCTTACAAAGGCCATGGAGTGGTACCAAAAGGCAGCTGTTCTTGGCGATCCGCAAGTGCTGCACCAGATAGAGATTCTTAAGAAGCAGACCAGCTCACGAAAATAAAACTAGGCGGTGATGAATTGGAAAAGAAAGGTCTGGGCCATCATGTTTACGGCATGTAGGCCTTGATTCATGTTGCATCGCCACATTCAGAACCTATCACGAAAAAATCAACAACTTCCAGGCAGTTACTATCCTACCACCATGCAAGACTTAACGAATTAAGGTGTCCGTGATTAAAAACGCGCATCGGCGTCTTGTCTTGTGTCTGTATAGCTGTGTTGCATTTGCTAAAAGACCTGCAAACCTGGTACAACTGTGCATTGCCACTACAGAACAGAGAACGAAAAAGAAGCACACCCGCACCCTAAAATCCAAAAAAAAAAAAATATGTTGTCCTCGTTTACGTCCATTTTGCATTTAGTGGCGCGATCCACCCCCAATAGCAATTCCTTTTTGGCTATGAAAACCGCAAAAACGAGTGTATGTCTAGGGGAGAGCATTGTCTAAGGATTATGTGTTTGATGACGCGCCTTCTAGTTGAACATTCTAGTCGAACATTTAGTCGATACACCCCCATCCCGGCCCTCTATGTCGATCTCACTTTTTTTTCTGAGGTTGCAGCACTCCCATATATTACGATCCAGACTCCCGATCTATGGAAAATGGAGAACAGGGAGCAAGCAACTGACAATGATGGCGTGAAAGCGACCTACCAGGTAGAAAAAAAAGGAAGCAACTTAGAAAAAGAGGGAGAGAGACGGGGCGTAAGGTTCATGATAAGCGAGGGGGAAGAGGTGGGGCTGAGCGGTGCCATTGTGTTTCTCCTGCATGCATAGTAGGAGAGAGACGGGGCGTGAGATTCGTGATGAGCGAGATGGGAAGAGGTGGGGCTGGTGAAGCTCGCACGCTCCGCGGTGCTTTTGCATAGTATAGAGAGAGAGAGAGAGAACCTTATTTTGTCTCCTAATGCCCACATACTCGGTTGTTATCTCCCTGCGCCTCTTTACTTGACCTGTTTTACTTGCTTGGCCCACAACTATCATAGCTGTCACCAATTGCCATCTAACAAACCCCCCCCCCCCCCTCCTTCCATTTTCCAACTACTATAAAAGCCAAAGTCCTTACTCTTCTTCTTCATTACCCTCCTCATCACAACCCTCTTCACAACCTCAAAAAAATGGTTAACATTGTCCTCGTCCACGGAGCCTTTGTCGACGGATCATCCTGGTCTCACGTCATTCCCTACCTCCATGCCGCCGGTCACTACGTCATCGCCGTCCAGCAGCCCCTCACTTCCATCGAAGACGACGTCGCCAAGGTCAAGGTCGCTCTTGGAACCATCAAGTCAGGCCCCATCGTCCTTGTCGGCCACTCCTTCGGAGGTCTCGTCATCTCCGAAGCCGCCCACAACAACCCCAGCGTCTCTGCCCTCGTCTATGTTGCTGCCTTTGGGTTCGATCAAGGTGAGAGTGCTGGCGAACTTGGCAAGAACTACGCGCCCCTTCCTTCAGCCCAACAATTTGTCGCCGACAGTGCTGGACGTCTCGCTCTCCCCCAGGATCAGTTCTTGAAGTACTTTTGCCCCGATGTCGAAGAAAAGGAGGCCAAGATCGTGGCTGCTTCCCAAGGTCCTTGTGATGCTGTCCGCTTTGGTTACGTCGCGGGGCCCCCTGCCTGGAAGGAACACCCTTCGTATTACATTGTTGCCGAGAACGATCAAATCATCCCACCCGATATGCTGGAATTCTTTGCTGAACGTATGAAGCCCAAGAAGACCATCAGGATCCCCTCCTCCCATGCCGTCCCTGTCTCCCACGCCAAGAAGGTTGCCGACCTCATCCTTGAGGCTGCTGAGGCTGTTTCCAAGTAAAAAAAAAAAAAAGAAAAAAAGGAAAAAGGACAGATCAGTCTTTTGTTGTTATTGCAAATCTTCAATCCCCTCAGTCTCAACAAACAAGAGAGGCGTGTCAATAGGGGCGACAAACAACGTGTACAAAGCAAGGAGTTGTCCATTTGCAAAAAAAAAACGTTCTCACCTCTCGAAGCAATAATTAAATGCATATAAAAACCAAAACCTTGTCTTTTCTTCTGCGTTGTTATCTTGACCCAATGAGCATAGTAATCTCTCCCATGCGGTCTCACGGCAAAGGTGAGAAAATAGGGGCAGAAAGAGAGAGAGAAAAGGCGTTGAAATGGGAAACAAGTTGCAGGTTGAAGTGAAAAAGAGAAAAAAATAAGTCCAGAGAAATCAGCAGGTCACAGACCACAACTCTCCTTATCAAGGTTAGACTCAAGGGGGTCCCGACCCAAGCGCCACTGACAGTTGAGGACTGATCAATTGAGCAAGTTCTTTTGGTAATAAAGTTACCCTCTGCAAAGGGGGGCCTGTTGCGGAGCAATTGAGCTGTCAGGAGGCGGACTGAACTCCGCCAGAAGTTCTTGTATGATCAGCACCTGAATAACGCTGTTCATGAAAATGCAAGCGATGCGAGAGCACGAGCAAGACTAGACAAAATCTACGGGGGGGCCCAGCCTTTCGCGAGGGGGCAATATACGTCTACCGGTACTGCCGCTCTTTTTTTTTGTGCTCATAAAAGAAAAGAGAGGATCATCTCTCTTTGGTTCCTCTTGTATCACTTTCACTCTTTCTTCACAACCCCCCACTCACACCCAACCCTTGAAACGGTTCAAAAGAGCGCCTGAGCAAGAATTCGCGGATTGTCGCAATCGGTGTCATGTACCAGAACGGCAATGGGGGGTCTCTAAGGGCCATGCAGCAACCATGGAATGGTAACGCAAGGGAGTCAAGCTAGGGAACGCCGATGCAGAGCTCAACATTGGCTTTCTGTATCGCAACAAATTAAACGCTCAACAGGATTACGCCATTGGCCATGTCGGCGGTAATTCAAGGCGGCAGAGGCGAGGAACGCCGATTGCCCAGCTCAACGTCGGATACATGAACCGCAACAGCTTTGGCGTCCCGCAGGGGTTTCTCCAAGGCCATGCAGTAGTACCACAGGGCGGTGGAGCAAGGCTATGCAATCGCCCAGGCCAACATGGGGACCCATGGTATGAGTTTTGCTCGCGGCGTTACCAAGAGTTACTCCCTAGCTCTCGAGTGGTGCTTGAAGGGCGCCAGGCAGGGCCATCCACAAAAGAACGCCGGCGGGGCTGTATCATCTTGGTCAAAGGGTTGAGCAGGACTATGCGAAGGCCATGGGTTGGTATCTGAAGGCCGCAGAACAAGGACTTACAGAGGCCCAGGTCGAGCTCGGGTCTTCGTACATGCATGGGCAAAGGGGGGGGGGGGGTGCCAAAGGATTATACCAAAAGCGGCGAGGTGGTATCGAGAGACTGCCGAGCAATAGTCATTAAATCAACTTCGCCAAGTGGTGCTTAAAATTTGCCACTCGCTTTGACCACTTTAGAAGCGATTTGTCTGTGGAATGTTTGGTTGCGTTTATTTTTGGTATATCTGAATTACGTGAAAAGGAATACAATGGAGTTGGAATTCAACCAGAACAAAGCTTAAAAAACAACAACATGAGGCGATTTTTATTTCTTTACAACTGGATGATGGATAAAGACAGGAAAAGATGAGAGACGGATGCGCGTAGTAGGAACAGAAAGGGGTGGCGCCCAAGGGTAGGATGACGGTGAGGAGTGATCGAGCAAAGATGACAGGATCAAAAAAAAAAGCCATAAGGCAGGAGCCAACATGCGCGCCGATTTTTGATATCTTAAAAGGTCTTGTTCGTTAGAAAATTCATGAAAGACTTGAGCAACGAAGGATCAGGCATCTCTTAGATGTCGACAATAGAAGAGGAGTACGCGGCGGCTTCAGGGCTGGGCAGGGGGGAGGGAAATCAGGTCAGTCAGGACCATAAAGAGTGGAGAAATGCGCGGAGGAGGATGAGGGCGAGGAGGTGGTGGCGGCGGCGGCAAGCCCAGGAGAAGAAGACCTCTCATTCAGGAATGGTCAGATACAACGATGAGGATTAAAGCGAAGGCGAAGAGCGAAGATGAGGCGGGGGGGGGGGTCGGACATGTGGCGATTCGGATGTATTGTTGGTCAAAGTTCCCAGCTCGGATATCGTTCTTGCAGAGACGTCCGATAGACCGACGCGTCTGATCGGATAACTAAAGCGACCAGGAATCTCGCTGTATCGAGCAAAGCCTCATCGAGGACGAGGACCGAGGATTAATTATTGTGATGAGAGAGATACCCGAATGACAAAGGATCTGAAAAGAGGAGGAAGACGAAGGGATGGTAAAGACGAAGACGATGAGTGGCGGAGTGTGGGAATCCGAAAGGGTTGATTGACGACGTGCAGGATTTCATGAAGTGAATAGGATGCGGGACGATAACCGAAGACGACTGGACAGTAGGGGAGGAGATATCTGTGAGTTGATATGGAGGGTAGATTGTCATCTTGATGAGGTGTGAGGAGGCGGGAGCAGGGAGACAAGACTTGATAGGATCGGCAAGGACGAATGGAGCGCCATATGAACCCTCTCCCGAAGGAGTGGGCCTAAAGGGCCTAAAGGGTATGAAAAGTGGAGGGTTGTTGTTGAAGGAGGAGGAAGAGAATTGGTTGAAAGATTCAAGAAGAAAGAGAAAAAAGAGTGAACGGCGCTCCTTTTATACATGACCATTCACTCTTTGTTGTTTCGTTGTTTGTTTCTTTGTTTCTTTGTTCCTTTCAATCCTAACCAACAAAAAACGCCTTTTTTCCCTACGTCGCAGCAAGCATAGCGAGACGCGAGACGCCCTTGGTGGCGCCTGACCGATATAAACAAAAAATAGACCTTCAGTATTCCTATCAGTTAATCCCCCCCCCTGAACCGATCCAACGTGATTCTAAAGCATCATCATCATTCCCCATTATTTTATTTTTCGTCTCTGACCAGCATCTTTCTAGAATGGATGCTCGCAAGAACGCAACGCGCCATTCATTCTTCTCATATCCAAAGTGGATCCCTTGTAAACAAGAACCAGGGTCACTGCCCCACCAGTCCATTCTATGTATCGAGCATATCAGACATCAACTAGAGGCTTGTTTTCTTTATCGTTTTTTTTGTCCTAGTGTACAAACAGGTATCTGAAATGGGTAAAAGAGAAAAAAATAAAAAACTCATGCATGTGAGCCAAGATCTGAAAGAGAGTGTGGATCAAATTAAATAACACGGAGGTGGGGAAAGTTGAGGACAAAAAAAAAAGAAGTACAGGGTAAAAGTAAAAAAACATGGTAGAAAGTGAAACAGGAACAAAGAAAAGAAAAACCGTACAATGAGACATAAAGAAAAACAAGCACGAAAACAAGACGAAAAAAGAACGAACGCCCAGCTGGGTGCCTTAACGAGTTGTCCGCCAGAGATCGTCAGTAACAGGCGGCTTCTGGGCACAAATAACCCTCATGATCAACTCTGCCTTCTCATCCTGACACTCCATCTTCATCATCTCCATCGTCTCCTCAAAGTACCCTTCCTCTAACCGGTTCATGTCAATAATCTCCTCCTTCAACGACTGGACCATCTCTAGATACGACCTCATCGCCACCTGACCCCTCAATCCTGCCCACTCTCCCAGAGGGATACTATAATCGTAGCACTCCACATTGATCAATCCAGCGCCCAAGACAGTCGGCATGAGGGCACCCATCAGCTGTGGAGGGTTAAGTCCAGAGCTCAGAGCGGCCTGTTCGACCCACCGGTTGACTTTTGCAGTCTCGAGTCCTGCACGGACGACCATCCCATCGGATTCTGCCATCTGGATCCATCCACCAGGACGAGTGAGTCGACGCATTTCAGCAAAGTGGGGTGTCCATTCCTGAATGGGTGTCCTGAACGCACCCAGTCGCTGGTGAACAAGGTCAAACTCGCCTTCCTGGTCGCGAGCGTCACGCATGCGGAACTTGCAGTTCTCGGGGATCCGGAGCGGCAAATGTGTTGTGTCCAGTAGAGAGTCCAGAGCATAGACCAATGTCCTTGGGTGTTTGATCGCCATATCCTATTACATACATTAATGATGTACATTCATGCAATCGGTCAGAAACATGTCTTGTACAACCTTGAAGTAAACCCTGAGCATACTCAATGTCATCTAAGAAGAAAAATAAAGCATATGGTCACTCACCATGGCCCAGTCGCCAGAGGCACAGTTGATATCGATGGCCTTGCGGAAGGGCTTTGAAATCGGTGCCATCAGGTCCAGTTCATATGTGATCCTGTGAACATAAAACGGCCTATTTTTCCGGGTTTTCGCAACAAGGTGAAGTAAGTTAAACACGAGAGAAACAGGGTTACCAAAAGAAAAAGAAGATGCAATTTGAGCAAAACACAAGATTGGCACCAACGAAAACGCTAAACGTAAAAACAGCATCACCAAACGAAGCGCAAAAACATAAAATAAAACGCCAGCTTACGATTCGGGGTGGTCAAGTTCGTCAGGGTAGACGGGTATAATAAAGCCAGGCGTCTCGGTGTCAGGGTTAAACGTAAGCGACTCGATAATATGGCCCAACCAGCGATAGATCCGTTCCCGCTTCTCGGTTTCGCGTGGGTTGGTCGGGAACTGTCTTGCCAGACGGGCAAAGACTTGATCGACTGTGGGTGGGCGTTGTGAAGAAGAGGAAGGCCCCACGTCGATGAGTGGTCCTGCACTTGCCAAGAAAGCCGATGGTTTTGGTGTTGTTGTGGTATTGGGTCCGTTGTTAATAGAGATGCGTTCGCGTTGTGGTTCTGCGGGGTATGTGGTGGTTAGGCGGGGTTGTTGCTGCTGTTGGTAGTACTGTTGTTGTTGTTTTGGCGGGTAGGCTGTCGAGTCTTGGTGTGTGTAATGCACGGCGTCGTTCTGAATGTAGTACTGCTGCTGCTGCTGTTGTTGTTGTTGTTGTTGTTGTTGCTGTTGCTGCAGGTCCATTTTTGAGAATGGCTCGTTCCGTACGACGAGAGGAGTTGGACTGACGCCTTGAGCGTTCAGCAAACTGCCCTGCCGACTGTTGTTAGCCGACCCCTGCTGATAGTGATATGGTGGCATGGCCGTCGAGTTGCGCTGCTGGTGGTCCTGGTATTGATTCTGGGTTCGCATATTTAGCTGCTGCGGTTGTTGTTGTTGTTGTTGTTGTCGGTCGGTCAAGTTCATGGCAGCGATAGACGAGGCCATGATGACTTCTTCGGTATAGGGGGCTGCGACGTTGTTGGGGATCGAGACAGAGTTTCTCATTCCTGTGGTCGCGTGGTCGGTGGGGTAATGGTGTTGCTGCTGAGACACCCTGCCGTTGGTCGGGAGGTGGTGAGGGGGGATCGACAGGGACTTTTGGTCTGGACCCTGTTGTGGTTGTTGCTGGAGATTGTTGTACATTGTCTGTTGCTGTTGTTGTTGTTGTGAAGAGGAATGCATTCCCATCGACATCATCTCCTGACCACTTGTCGTATTGTTGTTGTTGGAATAGCTTTGATAATTGTTGCTGTCATAGCCATACCCGTCGTTGAGAACGTCGTGACCCAGAGCTGCTGATGTCCTAGGCATTGTTCCTGAAATACGATTTCCCCCACTCAGTCGACTTGTTCCGCCTCCCGCTCCTGCAGGTGGACCTGAAGGATGACCACTCCCTACTCCTTTACTGTTGCCGCTATTGTTGTTGTTGCGAGCGCCGTGTTGGAACTGATAGTGAAGACTCGAGTCCGAGGGCTTCTTAGTCTGGTCCAATCGTCCCGGACTTGATAAGTTGGGATGATTCCAGCCAAGACCACCTCCAGGAGCGTTCGGAGTAGGAGTATCTGCCCGATCGATAGGCGAAGAAGGCGACGCTATGAACCCGTGGATAGAATAATGCCCACTGTCATTCAGAAGCGGTGACTGTTGCTGCTGGTTGTTGTATTGCTGTTGTTGACGATTGCTGCTGCTGGTATTCATGTATTTGCTGGCTCGTACGCGGTCCTGCCCTGTTCCATTCTTGGATGACTTTTGATAATATTGGCCTTGTTGCTGTTGTTGTTGGTGTCGAGACTTTGTGTTGCCCATGATCGAGTGTTGTTGGTTTTCGTCTTCGTTTTGGTTGTTTGTAGTCGTCAATAAGAAAGGAGTAGGAGGGCGTGTCCAGGTGGTCGCGGGGGTGGGAGGAGACGAGGAGGAGGACCGAGAGACGACACGGATCGATCCAGAGGCTGCTACTGTTGGTCCTGCTGCTGCTTGATGATGATAAGAGGGAGAGGAAGTAGGAAGAAGGCTCTGAGAGTGAGCGTGATCAAGGCCGTGGCTGTGAAGCTGGGCGTAAGAAGGGTCGTGGAGGTAGTTGATGTTGTTGACAACCAGCGAGTGTTGTTGGTGATTGTAATTGTAATTGTAGTTGTAGTTGTAGTAGTTGTTGTTGCTGCTTATGATACTGGAGCCTGGACCTGCAAAGGGGCTTGAGGACGAAGAGGACGCAAGAGGCCGCAGCTGGTGCTGGTGCTGATGCTGATGGTGGTTGTGGGTGTGGTTGTGGTATGGATGATGGTGCAGCGTGGAGGTAAGGACAACCTTGTCGGTCTCAGGTCGGGGAGGATGATGTGGTTGTTGTTGAGGAAGAGGAGACCAGTGGGGCAGCGACGACGGCGAGGGCGAGGATGACGACGACTGCGGTTGCTGCTGCTGGAGCTGCGATGGGAAGGACCGTAAGGGATCCGTTTGTGGAGAGGGAGGAGGGAGGTATGGGCGGGAAAGTAGGGGGTTGGAAAGTTGAACGAGAAGAGGAGCACGAGGAAAGGGGTATCACAAGGGTGCAGGGAGGACGAAGGACAGGAGGAAGGAGGAAGGAGGATGCAAACGAAAAAGAAAAAAGCGAGGGAAAATAAGGATAACTTAAAGGGTGAGAGGAGGAGAGAAGAATGAAAAGAGAAGAGAGTGGAGCTGAAAGGGAGGACAAGAGTCGACAAAAGGGCCAAGGAGCGAAGCAGGCAGGAAGTCGTCGTGTGTATGTAACTGGAGGTGTTAATATAGAGTACAGTAGACTCTCCCGCGGAGGATGAAAAAGCCCAGTGAAGTAATAATAACGAAGCGAGCGAGCGATGAGCAAAAATGAAAGTGGGAGAGAGGGCGGAGAGTGGCGATGAGGGAAGGTAGAAGGTAAAGTAGAAGTTGATGGGAGATGATGGGTGATGGGGGTTGACGATGACAAGGGAAGGGGGACAGGAAAGGAAAGGGAAAGGGAAAGGAAAGGGAAAGGGAAAGGAAAGGAAGGAAGGAGAGGAAAACAGAGGTGCGAGAAGAGAGAGGAAGAGAAAGAGGCCGGAGATAGGTACTGTGTATGTAGGACTAACGACTAATACTAATAATAATAATAATTCAGCGAGGTTACTTCACTCAAATACTCAAAAGAGGTGCATCCGAGCGGCCACAGAGACGATTCGACGCCCTGTCTTTCTTTTCTCGCTTGGCTTGTTTGTCGGATAGGATGGGATAATGGGATAGGGGGAGAATGAGAGCAAAATTTCATTTCTACCTCGGCCACGAACTCCCTGGTACCTTACCCATCTGTACTTTTGTCAGAGCTCAACCGTTTGCTTTTGCCTTTTAGGATCCCGTGTTTGCTCTCTCCTCTCTCAGGGCATGTAACAAGGCAACCAAAGACAATCCCTATCCGAGCCCTCAATTGCTCTCATTCAGACGGCACATGCATCGTACCACTTTCTTTGGTCATCGTCGACGAAGTATGGTTTCAAACCCAAGCTTTGTTCTCTTCTTGTTGAAGGGGCAGATGGAATTTTTTTTTTTTTTGAGTATTGTTTATTTTTTTTAGACGTTGTTCTCCTTTGTTTCGTCTTGAAAATGCAAACAAAAAACAAAAGAAAGGAAAATAGAGTGGGCTAGTGTACAGAAATAGGGTGTGGAAGAATAGTAGCGAAGAAAGACCAAAAAAAAAAGTACCTAATGATCAAGGAGCGACATCTACCACTCAAAGTCGCCGTTGGCCTTGTGGAAGAGATAGTCGCGACCATTGATCAGCATGATGCCATCCTTGAGGACGCACTTCCACTTGCTCTTGGTCCTCGACACCTTGTCGTACTGGCACAACACAATGTTATCCGACTCCTCATCCATATCTCCATCGCTATCATCCAGATCCGAGCCCAGTCCCGTATCATCCTCTGTCCCGTTGTTATCATCATCATCTCCTCCATCCACCTGTCCAATCGAGAACCCCTCCATTGGTCCCAGTCCCAGTCCGTCCCGCTTCATCTTGCGCGCAGCACGATCCGACATGGTCAACGTGAAAGTCATCTCGCTGTCTTGGTCTTTGCCCTCCTGGATCCTCTTTTCGATGTATGAATCCAGTTCCTGTCTGTTCATCATCTCCAGCTCAACAGTCTCGGCATCGGCTGGTCCATCGTGCTGAGGAATGTTGTTGTTGTTGTTGTTGTTGTTGTTGTTGCTGTTGTTTGCTCCGTTACGACCTCCGCCAGGAAGCGAAATGCCTCCGCGAGATGGCGCATACTGCTGGGGTCTGCCGACATTGCCATGATCTCCCTGTAATGTGGTCGAATTGGCGAGGTTGGCTGCAGGTGTCTGTTCCACGCGATAGTTGTACGCCTATGCAATTTGAACAACAATACGAGAATATAGCGCGTTAATGTATATAGCGCGTTAATGTATAGCTGCGATATTTTTTGCCACCAAATGAAAAATAAATAAAAAATAGAAACTTACAGGAGCGGACGCCGAAGGTGCGACGGGGACAGGAGGAAGAGGCAACGAGGGGAGAGGTGGCAGAGTAGGTGGGTGAGCAACCGCCGAAGTAGTAGGAGCCGGAGCACTGGCAGAAGTTGCAGCGGGAGCTGGGGCGGAAGCAGAGCTGGATGTCTGGGCTGAGGAAGCGGCTGGCTGTTCGTAGGCTGGCTCCTCAAAAGGGTACGCCTCGACTGCCGCGGCTGGCTCTGCAGGCTGGTTGGCGGCCACCTTGGACTGAGCAAGCTTTGCTTCCCACGACTACATACAAGAGAAAGCATCAAGGTATGATGGTAACAAGATTATGATTTTTAGTCTACAATCCCTTGAAAGAGTGAGCAAGAGAGTTGACTGGTTGGGGTGTTTGGCGATCTGAATTGTAGATTCCAGAGTGGCAGGAAAACAAAAGGTCGCTTACTCTCTGAAGCTCATGCATAATAGTCTCATCGACTCCCATGTCCTCAAAGTCGCGGCGGACGTTGGTGATCACGTCGTCGATGACGAACCGGTAAACGGCAGTCTATTTTGCATGCGAACAACAAAAATCAAAGGTTGATGAGTTCCGATGGTTCGTTCAGAAAACATAAACAGATCTTACTCTGTCAAACACTGAGTGAAAAGAACATGTGACATACGACGGTGCTGTTGGCCATGGTATTTTTCTTTCTGCTGTTTTATTCAGTTGTGTAGGGTGACTGACGGGGGGCTCTGTATGCGGAGGACGATGGAAAGTGACAACTGAAGGTGCGAAGGAAAACGAGGAAGGATTAGAGCGACGAAGAAAGGAGGTTTGAGGAGGTGGAGGAGAAGAAAGGAAGGGAAGGAGGGAAGAAGGACAAAGTACGAAAAAAAGTGGGTGTTGCCGCCCTATTTATCCCTTCGTCTGTTTTCGACCGCTTTTTGTGGTCGAAATTTATCCCTTCGATTGATTCTGCGAGCAGGGTCCTCTCCATATTTACAAAAAAAAACACAGAGAGCACCCACTCCGTCACATAAAAAAAGAGGAACCACCACGAGAGGAACTTCCATATCAACTTATCTTCCTATCACTTTTCCTTCACTTTTAAACGTCAGCGAGATGGACAGGCAAAACAATAAGTGTGGATAAAATAGTCTCAGAGCCGAGCCTTTATAAAAGATAATGTTGTCAAAACCCTCTGACAATTCAGAAGCCTCTCACTCAAAATAAGAGAGTTTGAATCAACCTCCATAAATGAAATTGACTCCAAGACAGAAAGGAAAAAAAGAAGAGCGCTGGATCAAGGTGACAGACGGAGTGAAGAAAGATCAGACCAAGAGATGCGAAGTCAACTTATCATCGATATTTTTTGCGTTGGTGAACGCGCTGAGTTTCCATGAAACGGCGCAGTTCGTTGCAAAGTCGGCCCGACGTCATATGTCTAACCACGCAACAACATCGACACAGCAGACTTCATCCGGCCCAGAGCGAGCAACCGACGACGATGACGCGGGCATGTCTACTCACACAACAACATCTACACAGCAGGCTTCATGCAGTCCAAAACGAGCAGTTGACGTCGAGGATGAGGACATCGCCGACACTGCTTCCTCTAAAAAACGCCTCCGACCCCTCCAGCTCCGGCTCGTCGACTCTCATTGAAGACATACAGCGATTGCTGGCGACACAACCATCCCAGATTAGGTTCGACGAGAGTCCTCGTGATCTCCTTATTGCCTCTCCGCCCTCAAGATTCTATCTTGCCTTTCTCTTTATCGTGCTCTAAAGATAAAAAATCAACGCGTAATGTCTCAACACGACGCATCTATTGCCTCTATCGCACTTGATTTTTAGAAATGCTCCGATCTCTCATCACTTTCCCTCAATGCAAGTAATACTTGGATATCGTAGGTAACCATAATTTTCTCAGCTCTCATGTTCACTTCCTCTTCCCACTTTCTGCTCTTTCCACCCCTTCAACTGCAACACGGTCAACGATCGCCTCCATTTTGACTATTTCTATCCACATCCCTTCACGCACCAGTATCACCACCCGAGTCTGTCCCTTCAACGCAATCCCGCTGCTTTAGCCTCACCCCACACATCCTTCACCTCCAGTCACTGCCACCCCAGCAAAACCATCGCAAGTTACCACCAACACCCACCATGGCCACAACGAACATCGAGCGACAAGTCGACCAAGCCCGAGACGCCACCCATGAAGCCCCCCAGATCGTCGCCAGCAAAGCTCAATCGGCACTGGAGTCTGTCAACCAGATGGGTATAGTCCAGCACTATGTTTTCCCTCCCGCGGGATACCTCAAGAATCTATATGTCCAAGCTCCCACCAGTGTCAAGATTGGGGTCGTTGGGTTTGGAGTCATATCGGCTTTTCCTCTGGGCTGCTTCATGGGCTTCATGGGGTTTGTCACCCTTGGGTCCTTGATCGTTGGAGGGATTGGATTTACCATTGTTGAAGTGAGATATGTTTCTTTGGCACAATGACAATGATGATACGCACTCGAATACCAAAGCCTGATAGACGATACTGATCCGAAACTCCCTACCCTAACCCATCATCATCTACATGTGCCAATCATCACCTTATCTCTGTTTAGGTAGGATTCGCAATTTTCAGCTTGGTTTTCCTGCTCCCAGCCTTGGGAGTCTCGCTGCTGGTTGCCTGCGGCGTCGGGTTGGTCAGCATGGTCGCCTATGTCGGGTACCTCCTTTCCTGTGCAGTCCTAAGTATGATCTGGGGACATGGTGACTTGCGCAAGGCTAAGCGACAGATCCGGGAGGCCAAGCAGAGGGCTAATAAGGGCGGTCGACGAGCCAACGGCTAATAGAGTCGAACAATCACGAGGGACCATCGCACTAAACAGTGGAACCAGGCCTCGCTTATGATAAGGACTGATTGATCTCAACAACCCCTTGAGGAATAGAGAGCGTCTTTTTTTTTTCTTTTTTTCTTGAACTCGCCAACGCTTAAAACACTGTGGACAGTCATTCTTTTTTTTTTTGGTTTTAGCCTTTTGAAAAGCTCTTTGTCTCCACAAGCATCTTATAATTCTTTCACTTCCTCATAAAGCAAAAAAATAAAAATCAATACACGGACGCGGTGGTCACAACCAGCCAACGTTCACGGACACCCATCGTTAACTTGCATTATTTTTTATCGAAATGTAGTTCAAAACAAGCCAATCGGTATTGTGGGCGATGGGGAAGGGAGGTCGCACGAGTGCGGTTGCAGACAAGCAAGGGTAGCAAATGGCTGAAGGGCCGGGCTCACATAAACCACATCACCAGAAAAAGCAAAGCAAGACGAAAGGGTCAGCTTTCTGCCATGTAGATATCTCTTCAACGTCTTAGCACGGTTCGTATATAACATACCCTTCTGAAGCTGCTGCTTTACGGGCGCGTAGGTAATCGACTCACCCAATCCTTCCGAAGGCGTGGCCTTGCTCCAATTGACGCCCTTGGTGGAAACGTGCTCGCTGCGCGACCAGGTGGGCATAGTACTCCGCAGAAACCATAGAGACGGATCGAGTGCATCGAGCATACAGGTAGCATAGTCTGTAGGTTAGAGTCTGGAGACTGTCCGACGTAAATCAGCTCCCATCGCAGAGAACGTTGTGGAGGGCAGGTCTCGAAGTTCCAATCAGACCCGCTTGCTACTGGAAGTAAAATCAAATTGGAATGGATGAACAATGCCAGTGTCGACCACAGTTCCGGGCGGACAGTTTCCCGATCGATCGGCCTGGCCCTTCTGCATTAGAAAGAAGAGATTGTGATGGCGCTTCTGGACTACGACAGACGTGATCTTGGTGCAATGGTCAGACAGGACTTGGAAGAATGTGTATTGCTTTTGTTATATTTTATTATGAAGGAAAAGGAAGGAATACGAAGAGTGTGCAGAAGTAAGGCAGGGGACAGATGCAAGTGAGTTATTGCAGACTGGGGAACAAGACAGGGGAACAAGGGGTTTATTTATGCTAAGGGCCGAATGAACAGAAGGAACCAAGGCGGCGCTTGGACATTGGACGGGGCTTGGATGTTGGACGAGGCTTAGGACATTAGACGGGGCTTGGGGTTTGGGATCTTGAATGCTCAGCTGGCGAAAGTCACGTGACGAGAAATCAGAAATCCATGGCGCGTTCAACGGAACTAGGACAAAGCCTATTTTCGCATAACCTGGACAACCTGGGGCCTGGCAGCCTTGGGGCAAAAGTGGCACTTGGGAGCATACGTAACTTGTAGCTTCTTGGAAGCCGACCGAATGGCATCCACTTCGACTTGGTGGACTTGCACAAACTGACCCTCCGAGACTCTGTTGAGGTAGAGCAATATCCTCTCAGGCTTTTTCTTGGTCCTGCAAAAGATGCAAAGAATTGCCGAAAGCAGAAGTGAACGGTAGGTTAGCACGAATTCGTAGCCCATCCAACAGAAATCGCCACAATCGACACTTTCTCAGATATACTTACGAACCAAAGATTGCTCTCGCAAGCTCGATGACCATAAGTGTCCTCGAGGTCTGCGATAGTTTTTTAGGCGCGCTCCTTGGGTTCGGATAGAGGTTGCATACTTGGCGTCGCGGGACGAAGGATGGTTAGTAATGACTAGGGCGGGCAGAATACGCCCGCTCAGTGCGCCCATCACGTTTGAGCAGCACAATCTGGTCAATGATCCGTCTGTTGATTGGGGGCTGACATCGGGAGGTGATGGTGACATCTTGATGGTGGATGTTGATGTTGGGGAGTGTTTCGAGCTCAAAGAAATTTGCGGACGTTGCAGACTTGGCCTAGATTGGCGTCGTGACGAGTTCAGTCAGCTTGATAAAGGCGGACATGGTTGACGCTATTGTTCCAGGAGAGTGTAGAGTGATGAGTGTGCAAATGTGTGGTTGACTTAAGGTTCGTTATTAGTTTACTGTGTGTGCTTTTGTATATGGGCGAGAGATAATAGGGGCTCAAAGGGCCAACAAGAGAAGCAGAGGTACAATGAGAGAGGCAAAACGAGACATGAAAGAGATAAAGAAAGAACCAAAAAGAGAAAGGAATGAGACAAAGAGAGTACCAAAAAGAGAAGAAAAGAAGAGAATATGGTTTGCGATGTTGACCATCACCCAAGGTGCGAATAAAACAGGCCTTATTTTTTGTTTTTTTTTGAAGCAAAACCATAGCCCTGCCATTTCCACAATAAACTCTTGGGTTATTGTTTTGGTGACTTCATGCTGCATGGTGTGGAAACAAAGAGAGAGAGAGAGAGGCAAAAGGAAAAAAGAAAGGGACAATGAGAGAACAAAAGGTGTTTGTGATGGTGACCATCATCCACGGTATACATGAAGCAGGTTATTGTGGAAATGGTTTCTTGCTGTATGATATGGAAACAAAGAGGGAGAGAGAGAGAGGCAAAAAGAAAAAAGAGAGGGACAATGAGAGAACCAAAAAGAGACATGAAAGAGACATGAAGGAGATATGAAAGAGACAAAAGGTGTTTGTGATGGTGACCATCATCCACGGTATGCATGAAGCAAGTTATCGTGGAAATGTCAGGTTATTTTTGGGCTTTTGTTTTGGCGATTTGTTCCTGAATGGTATAGATTATATCGCTTGTGTGTGATGATTGAGTGATAGTGGTCTCGACATGTAAGCCTTTGTCCTTTCCACTGCCCACTTTTCCTATAAAATCCCG